ATCTGGGCACAGCAGTCCGCCGTCGAAGGTCACGGCGATCAGCCCCCGAAAGACTTGATCAAGGAGCTCGGTCTCGAGGCGATCTTTCCCGGCAACGAAGCCGAGCAGCGATACGCCGCGGCCTGTATGGGATCACTGCACAAGCGACGTGAGGAGGTCATCGCTGAGAAGGCGACGGCGGCTGAGCCGGCAGTTTTCGTGCTGGACATGTGCGCCGTGGATCCCAAGTTCCAGGGTAAGGGCATCGCCAAGAAACTGGTTCAGTGGGGTCTCGAGGAAGCGAAGCGACGTGGCGGACTTGAGCTGCTTCTCGAGGCGTCAAGTATGGGTAGACACGTGTATTCCAAGTTGGGCTTCAAGCAAGAGGGTCCGGAGATCGAGTACGACGTTGAAGAGCAATTCGCGCACCGAGACAGACCTTCGAATATCTTTATGAGGACTGGAGATGGCCAGTGACGCGCTGAAGTGAAGAAGAGCCACAGTTCAGTGTTATAGTAATAGCTCGAATAATACATTACTCATCGTTGCATTACTACTAAGCTGTTGAACAAGCGTCCTTTAGAGGGGAAAAGCATGTGCTCATGTTTCACACACGGCGTGATTGCACGCAATCACTATGGCCTTGCACATTGATCATGTTCTATCGTATCATTACTAAAACTATATCCTCAAGCAGTTATGAAACTACATAACCCTATACGGCGTTGGATGTAGTTTCTTGCTTAGTGTGATGTTCAGAGAAAGGTCTCTCATCGCTTGCCTTCTCATTCGGGTTGCTGTTGTCGGTGTGGACCGATGCTCGCTGGAACGCAGACTCGTCTTTGTCCTTGCGAGTGATGTAGCCTGGAGGCACCCACTTGGTGGAGGAGTAGGGCTTGACGCTTGGATCGCTGTACATTCTGTCGACGTTCTCGAGGGACAGCATCTTCGTCTCGTAAAGGAAGAACCATACGAGGAAAGCGGCGGTCAAGTTGCAGCCAGCAAAGACGAAACCGTATGCAAAAGAGATACCGTTGGTGGCAAAGGGCGTCAGGAAAGAGATGAGAAAGTTGCCCAACCAGTTGCCAGCGGTTGCGAGAGATGCCTGCTTGGCTCTAGTTCGGAGAGGGAAGGTCTCTCCAATGACGCACCACGCCATAGGTCCCCAGGTCTGGTACGTAGTTAGTAAGAGGCATGGTTGAAGTTGGCAGGAGGAAGCTTACGCTGGCGAAGGAAGCAATGAACATGCAGGCCGAGACGATCATGACGATGCCGCTGGTTGCGCTAGTTTCGGGAGGAAGGGCAGTGCCGACAGAGGCGAAGATTGTAAGCCAGGCAAACTGCCACAGAGCACCAATAAACATGGGCCAGCGTCTACCGTATCTTTCAACGGCATAGAGGCCATAGAAAGTGCAAACAACGTTGACGGCACCGAGAATAAGCTGAACCATGATCGGATCATCGATACCAGCCGACTCGAAGATTTGCGCTCCGTAGTAGAAGAAGTAGTTGATACCGGTCCTATGATGGATGTTAGACACTGTGCTTAAACATTGAAGATTCGATGTGCCGCGACGTACCACTGCTGCAGGAAATGAATGCAGATACCCAGGATCGTTCTGTAAACGGTCTTCGGGATTCCAGACGATCCAGTGAAGCACTCAAGCCAAGTACCGTAGCCAGTCTTGGATTCCTCCTCAATGACCTTGAACATTTCCTGGAGATCCTTCTCGACGGTCTCATTGTGCGGGTCGTCCTTGAGACCGCGGAGGCGCGCCATAGACATGCGAGCGCCTTCCCAATCCTGACGACCTGCGAGCCATCGAGGAGATTCGGGAACGGCGAGGATTCCCAAGCCCAATGGCAGGGAGAAGCCAATACCAAGACCGATAACGATGCGCCATGAAGCGTCAGACTCTTGGATGTTGCGAACGCCGAAATTGATCAAGTTGGAAATGAGGATACCGAAGGTGATGAGAAGCTGGTAGGATGCGACAACGGCACCGCGAATCTCACGGGGAGAGCACTCAGACTGGAACATGGGCACACCGATAGACAAGTTACCGACACCAAGACCAGCGATGAAGCGACCCATCATCATGTGGACCCATGAGTTCATGGCTGTGATTTGGATAATGTTTCCAACGATGAAGACACTGACACCAAAACTCAAGCTTTTTCGTCGGCCCCACCAGTCGGCCGTGTAGGCACCTGAGAGCGCACCGATGAGAGTACCGATACTCATGAGCGACACCATTAGGGACTGGGTGATGGGAACCCATTGTGGAATACCGTCGGCGTCTGGTGCACCGGTTGCGAAGCGTCTCTTGAAGTCCGTGAAAAGTAGCATAGATGAGATTTGACCGGTGTCGTAACCGAAAAGGAAGCCTCCTATGCTGGTGATAACACCGAGCAAAAGCGACTCGATACCGCAGTCGGCGCCATTAATGCGAATGGACCTTGATAAGATGTTAGTTGACTCCCAAAGTGTACAGTGCAAAAGCTCGTTCTTACTTCTTGCCCAACCCCATGTTTTCGGATGCTCTTGTGCGATATTGATGTTGACCTTGGGTGGAAACAGAAGTAGTGTGCAAGGGAGCAGAAGCTCTTCGCTCAAGGACTCATGCAGATATCCTAATGGTCCAGTGAAGGAGTAGCGGAGAAAGGATGAAAGCCCAGTCGTAGTGGGAAAGCCAGAGAGCGTGAGAAGTGATGCTCATGTCTCTCGAGTATGCACCATGATGGCTTTATACTGCAGCCACATCCTGCCACTTCGCAGATGTGGACGAGCCTGAGTCGGCTGACCGACTACAATGATTGGTAACGATGCTATGACGTTGCCCCAGAGGCCGACTCGGTCCTATCCTTTCTCCATACTGGGGCGCAGACTGGCAAGGTTAATGAAGGCTCGATGGAAGGTGTGGGATGACCTTGGGAAGTACTTGTTGTATCCGTACATGGACACAATCCACTTTCATCCCACGCCTTCATCTGGGGGAGACAGGAAAGGCGCCACCCACGCGACCGACGGCTGGAAGCCCCATGCATCGACAATCCGGGGTTGGAAGGGCGCCGCGCATTCCACCAAGGCAGGACTTGGTGTGAGCGAGTCGTGCAAGCTAGAGAACTCGAAGTGCCAACGAGTTGACAAGTTCAGGTCGGACAACAGACATGCTGGACAGGGCTAAAAGCACCTGTTCATGGGGCTCACTCCGTCGACAATGGTTGGGAGACTCGAGGATGAGGCTTCAGATCGGCTGCTTGGCCCCCGTCATTGCCGACAGCGAGGCAGGGGTACGCGGACATTGGCATACGGAATCGATTTGTGAAGCCAAGACACCGGCTTATGCTGCCAAGGTGAGTCCACGGTGGAAGGCCAAGCTCCCTGGAAACTCTGCGAGACTGCTGATTCTTCCACCTAAACGAATGTCAAAGCCTGCGATAGGCAAAGGCGGAACCGGCAACGTGGGGCAGAGTTTGCACAACGCGACGTCTTGGAATTGAACACCAGGAATAAAAAGTAATGACGATCCCCAGACCCTCACATGCGAGTCAGACAGCGGCGCGTCCGACCTGTTTCTGCTTGTTCAGAAGACAATTGTGCTGTGAGATGCAGCCGGGTCACTGGTTGACTCCGAGACAGAATGTGACGTGCCTAGACTGTGAGCGCAACGCGTTCTGTTCAACTTAACTATGGACTTCCAAGGCTGCTGGCTGGGCGAATGTTGGCAGTTGGCAAAGTTGTGCTTTTTCAGTCTGGGCAGACTAATACGAGTCAATGCCATCCCTGCGATGCCCCCGTGATTCAGCGCACTGGACGCCTCTGGCATTACCTGAAGTGCTGCTTGTTGCTCCTTCTTGAGAAGTTCATCATCGACGGTCGAACACTTGAAAGGATTTCGCTGCAGGTTTCTATGACCCTCATATAAATACTGAGTATTACTTGATGAGGGGGAAGCATAGCAGGTAGCTTTGATCTGAGAGTTTGCCTCACGTCCGCTGATTAGTTCCTGCGGGCCTTCTCCATCCCCATTATCATACAGGTTCCAGGCTTTCAGCTTCCTCGTTCGATAGCTTCACAGTACACTTTAAAGCTTCCATTATGCTTCTCCGCCCATCATGCTGGAGCCCCCATGGGACATCCGTTATGTAGCAATACTTCCGACAGCCTCCCATCGGGGCAGCCGGGGAACTTGACCGCCTTGCGCGGAGCGTCGGGGCCCCAAATTGCTTGCCCCGTTCTCCGCAGTTTCGGGGTGGAATGTGGAGTGTAACGGTCCGATTGCGAGTGGGCATCGCCCAAGACTCTCGCTGTATTCAACGGACCGACTCGAACGTCTTTGATGGGGAAAGGAGAAATGATAAATGGAGAGCGATGTCTTGGCTTTCTTGGGTTTTACACGTCTACTATCATCTATTTCGAGTTTTCTCCATCCTTTCGCTCAATCGCCGGGACTGATTCTCCAACCGCCCCCCAGAAGCATGTCCAATTCTCCATGCTTTGCACCATCCGATGATTGTCCCAAACTTTTCCATGCTTGCCTTGATGCCTCCTGTCCATCCCGCACTTCAGTCTCACCGGAGAGCCTCCGAAATCCTCCGCACGCCTGAGTTTGGGGAGAAAGGGGGAAAAGAGGGTCGTGGTACCACTGAGTCGGTGAGCTCGAGCGTGGCCTCTTCTAGAACGAATGTCTCGCAGACTGCGACAGCTGACCGGCCATTCTCTCCACTGAATACGGACGTGAGAGTCGGGACGATTCGGAAACCTGACCACTTTGTAGAGCGGAAAACCATAATTGCGTTCCACTTGAGTCCCCTGTGGAAGAATATGCTGATCAAGCGGTAGGCAATTGGGGGTTGTTTTTTTTTCGGCCAGCTAGGGTATGACTACGAATGGAAGGCTGCATATGGCCAACCCAGAAGGGAATCACTCTGGGGTTGCTACCTTCTCGCAACTTGAAGGCTCAGGAAATCCCTATTCTACGGCCCAAAGCATGACACTAGGCGCTCGTTTTCACGCTTCAGTCGACGTGAACCACGTCTCCTTCCCTGAAGCCCGGAGAGTTTTCTTGCGAGTAGCCCTTCTGATTGGTGTAGAGTCGCTTCCCTGTCGCCTCGTCCACGAAGTCGCATTTGTGGTGTGTATGACCGAATGCCCAAACCTTGACATTAGAGCTCTTCCAACAATCTTCGCTTCGCAAGTCTGTTTGGAAACCAGATTTGATGTTACTTTGAGCATGACAAGGCTCAACAGCACGGGCGTCTTCAGTCGGACTGTAGTGCGTGAAGATGACAATCTTGCGGTCAGAGTCGGCGGAAATGGCGTTCACTCTGCTATTCAACCAGGCTAGGTCTTGCTTGTGCAGTTGACAATGTTCTTCGACAGTCCAGCCATCTATTTCGCGGAAGTCATTCAAGCCGTTGCTGACTGGCGTCATCTTTGATGATGGGATATTGGAGAATAGTGTGCATCCCAGTACTGTTATGTGGCTGTCGGGAATTTGGTATTGTCGCTGATACATAAACACAAACTCGCCAACACCGCTTTGAGGATCCTTCTCCCGTTCATTTCGATTTACTCTTTCGAATTTGTCCAACGTCTCCCATGCGTTATCCCAGCTAGAGCCATAAGGCTCGTGGTTGCCAAGAACATAGAAGACAACGCGAAATTGGCTCAGCAAGTTTCTGACAAAGCCAATGTAGCCGGGATCTTTGACACATCCGATATCGCCAATTAACGCCAGGTATGGTGCCAGTGGTGCAATGCGATATTTTGAGTAGTTATTGTGTTCGAGATGTAAGTCGGACAAGATCTGGAAGGAGGCCATTTTGTGGTGTTCGATGTGATGGGATGCTGTGGACTATTCAATGTGTTGTGGGCGATCTAGAGGGTATAATTGACGTCTGGTGATTGCTCGAAAACACCGCCTCTGCCTTCAAGTAGCCACCTTATGATATAGTTAAGTATGAAAATAAGTTTTCAGCACGCGTTTGTTGGCTTGAAGCCATGGAGAAACTACAGAGTTTCTCTACCTCTATGGTTCTTGGTTGTTGCGCGCAAATCATACGTCCAAAAACCCCTCGGTGAAAGTATCCTGGTATCAAGAAACCTAAACTGAAATTTTGAGTGAGTCATAATACTCCATCGCCCGGCAAACAAGACCTGTATTTTCGTCGATTCTTTTACCCTCGGCTATCATGTGCCGCTTTGGAAAGATTGTTGTGCCTCGAATGTAGGATGTCAGTACCTTGTACTGCTGCATACGGATCATGTACATAGTATGAGAGCCAACACATCTCCAGTCTCGGAAAGAGAATATTAAGCAGTTCCCGTTTGTCGACCAAAGTCTTCGTAGATCTGCAATGTTTGTCACGATGTAGCTGGCACGGAAGCCCCAACGAAGCTGGTCATCCAAGACGGCATCAAATGCTGCGCTCGGATTTCCCTGACGAAGGCCGTATAAGTGCTCGTATACACCTAGGTAAATATAGGGTTCCCTTCTAAGTCCAGCTTCCCATTCGCTACTTGGGAACGTCATTCGGAAGAGTTCAGCTTTCGCCAGGCGTCTCCCAACTGTGTCCCTAGCCTTCCGCCGACAACTCCGTTTCCATCTCCGGAATGATGAGCCATCGACTAGTCTGTGCAAATTGTTCCCTGCTCTGCGCATCCAATCAGGAACGTGATATCTATCACCAAAACTGTGTTTATTCAAAATATTCTTCATCAAGCCGTCAACTTGGCCCTCTCCAGCGGCTATGAACATTCGTGTCATCACGTCGTTCTCATCCGCCTCGCGCTGTCGGCGAAACTCGTCAACTAGTTCCTCCCCGAAATAGACTCGGAAGAGAGGTAATACATAATTGACACGTTCGGCCTCGTTGGGCGCTGGGAGGCCATTCATGCCTACAGCTATCGACGTGGGGCAGCGGTGCGCCTGAGTTACACTCCAGGCGGGCGACGTGGGTGGAAACTTGAAACTGTCCAAGATTTGGCTGAGGGCTCGAACATGAATTTGATTGTGCTGAAGAAACCTGGGAATGAGACTCCTGAAAGTTGCTCGAAGGATCGTGGGCTTGACTCTGCATTCGGATGCCGGTGGGTTGCTTCATTATTATCTCCTGGCTAGCAGCGGCGATTGGTAACACATTGCCAGAGACAATAGCTTTGTAAGACACCAGTGATAGAGGTATAGTCTTTGTGTGTGTTTTCTTCTTCTTCATGCGCAGATTGTACTTTGCGTTGGTTCTGTTGAAATTCGAAGGTTATAAGAACGGCCTTTGTTGGTGAACTGGCATATCATGTTGAGGTCACAACGCAGTTGAAAGAGACGTATTGGCTATCGCCTTGTTCTCTTTGAATTGATTTCATTACTTCGTATTGTAATTATCTCGGTCAGCCCGAGTAGTCAAAGAACGTGGATGTCCGATGTCTATATCTCAAGAGCCTGATCGTAAGTCACCTACTTACTATCATCGAACACGACATGGCTTGCGGCAACTCCGATTTCCACGTCTTTTTACGTATTCTTGGAATGGCACATAATTAAGAATCCCCGCGTCTGCTCTCTGTTGCTTGACTAGTTCTATCAAATTCGCATCCATCGATCTCATGATATAATATCCAAGCATTCAACCTGATTCCCTCAATCAGCGACCAAATGCGACCAGTAATATATACTACAATTCTTCTAGTAGGAACTGGCCATAGCGCTCAAGCGGCCACCATCAATGACCATGATCGAGCCATTCGAGTAGCTGCCAGAACGACTGGTGAGGTAGAGGATCGCTCCGGTCATCTCCTCATCGCCTCCAAATCTCCTCGCAGGAATAAACTTCGTATCATCAGGGGATTCAGTCTCTGGCTTCCTGTCTCCGATAAGTCCAGCAGCAATCTCTGAGGGAAACACTAGACATAGTATGTGAGTTTGTGTGGGATTGAGATGCAGAACCACAACGATGGTACTTACATCCAGGGGCGATTCCGTTCACACGAATGCCGTGTCTAGCCAATTGGCTACTGGCCTGCTTAGTGAGTTGCATGATGGCAGTCTTGCTAGCCAAGTACGGGGGTGTCGAGGAAAAATGCCGGCTAAAAGCCGAGATACTGCTTGTGAAGATGACTTGACTCTGGATGGCGATCACGTCGCTGTCTTCCTGGTCCGGCTTGCCGAAACCGCCCTTGAGAGCATTCTTGTTACCGGCATCAAGGAGCTCGAGGAAGGCTGACATGGTGAAAAAGGCAGCTGTGATGTTCACATGCAGAACCTCGGTCATTTCCGTCATGGAAAAGTCATCGAAGAGAATCTTCTTCAGATCGGACACGGAATGCGTCGGGTTAAACCGAACCGAAGGCCCAAGAACACCTGAATTAGCGACGACGAGGTTGACGTAGCCGACTTCCTTAGTGATACGGTCGACAATGGATTGGAGGTCTTCCTTTGAGGTGACGTCGCACTTGTGGGGGATCAGGTTAGGATGTTCTTTGGCTGCAGCCTCAAGCACCTCAAGACGGCGCCCTAGGATGTAGACCTTGGCGGCACCTTGAGAGACCAGGGCCCTCGCCATTGTGAGGCCGATACCTATGTGCAGTTTTAGCAGTGAGCTCATCAACGTCTTAATACCGGAGGATGCATACCTGTCCCGCCGCCTGTGATCACGGCGACGATGCCATCAACTCTGAAAATTGCGTTCGTGTCCATCGTGGATTCTTCTTCTTTTAGCGTAATTCGTTCAAGATTGTAAAAGAGCAGTCGATTTTGATGAATAAGGTCGGGGATTGATCCCCGTGGTGTTGTCGGACTTCTCCATCATATATACTTCAGCCCCCGCGCCAATGTCCGGACAACAGACGTGGCGTCCATAAGGTGTAAGCACCTCCTGCAGCCACATCCGTGCCTTGTGCTAGGTTACAGCTTGAACTTCAAGGACAAAGGATCAACAGGCCGCGTCTAAACTGACATACTTAGTCAATTGTACCCTTTAGTAATGTAATCCACTTTATCTCGTAAAGTCGTTCAAAGTAAGGGCTCCGATTGTTATCTGAATTGGGCAACTTGTAAGCGACGGCTTCAATATCAGCAACAGCTGGCAGGAAGGATTATGGCGATTATTGGTGGTAAGCTGGGTTTACAAATCAAACGCTTTTACAAATCGAATTGGTTTACAAATTCAATCAGTTTACAAATCGAATCTGGCTGGGGCACAGCGGCGCTCCTCCTGCGATAAACCGACACTCGGCGGCGCTCCACCTGAATATTTGATCGTAGTTTTTATCTCATGACGACGGATCGCCTATATTTGCAGTCTAATTGAGATCACCACATCACTTTAGCCTAGGTGATCAGACTGACTGCATGTCTTCCCTTTAAGCTTCGTCATGTCGTCGGCATGCAGCAGCTCTTACAGTACTAACCGCGCTGGAAAGTACTAAGCCTGCAAAGCCTGCAAGGCTATGTCAGGAAATAGACTGTTATGATAGAGACACCATAACGAACGCGAATCAACTTCAGGCTTTTCCAAGGCCGCTCTACATGGTAGAAGTGGGCATTAAGCCTTGGTGGCCGCAGTACTGAGGCTTTATATCTCGCAGGGACAGGCCAAAATGGGTGTTGAGTCAGGATCAAGATGGTTGTTTTTTGAGTGAAAACATATCTCTTGATTCTAGGCCTGTCTGTATGTTTCTAATTCTAAAATTCTGACAGGGTATGTCTATACGACACATCGTGTAGGTCTAGTAGATGCTCCAGTCACCATTCATCTTCAAGTCAGGGGTGTGAAACCCCCGCTTCTCTTTCTCAATCTCCTCTTGCATGGTCCAGTTAAATTCCCATTTGAACCCCTTGGGAAGGTTTGTATGCTCAAAGGGAGTGCCATTCTCGAGATGACTGCGGCCTTCGGCAAACTTTTCAGTGGCGTACTTTGCAGGATCGTGAGTCCATATCCATTTGCCAAGTCCCATCGGGCCGCCCTTTGCTGCAGATTTCATAACCTCTTCAAAGCCTCCCTTGCGGTGCATCTCTCGTCTATTGGCGAATCCGAGACGCTGGAGTGTAGAAGCGCGTCGAATGCTAGAATTGTGATTCAAAGTCAGTGTAGCTCGAGGGATCACAGACCATATGCATATGGAGTTAGACGTACCGCAATAACTCATGAACCTTGGTTCCGACATTGGCGTCCTTCTTTCCGGCAAGCCGCAAGCATTCTGCCAAAGATTGAGCGTCCTCCAGCGCTGTAGACGCGCCGGATATCGAAGATGGAATGAATGCGTGCGCGCTGTCACCAATTTGAAGGATCCGACCCTCGGGCGATGTCCATTTGGGCTGAGGGTCACGCCAGCAGAGCTGCCATTTGACGATGCTGTTCTCGGGGATGTTGCGAATGCCTTCCAAAATCAAGGGGTCCCACCCTTCGGTCACCGGCAATTTACTGACAAATTCATCGCCAGTGATGGTTTCGGCCCATGATTCTGATGCAGTCCCATCGTCCTAAGGTAAACAAGGGGCATCAGTCAATTCATCTGCAAAGAAGACAATTCCGATTGCGAGAGTGGTTCGGGGACGGCGGCATACCGGCATCGTGATTGCGATGACAATAGAGTCATTAGCAGTAATGAAGATGCAATGAAAATCGTCACTATGATATCATAAGTCAGCACACTGGAGAGCTCATCACTTGTCTGCAAGAAACTTACCCGGAGTGAGTGCGGAGATCAGGTCTTGTCGTCTTGATCAGCTTCTCATAGAGGCTCTTATTCTTCACCGGGTCAAGGCGGTAGAAGATGCGGCAAATGACGAATCCCGTGGGAACAGCCCTGATTGCTTCTCCCATAACCACCTTGTGCGACTTGGTGCCGAGACCGTCGGCAGCAACCACAATGTCAGCCGTCAGTCGCTGGCCATCAGCTGTGACAGCAGTGCCTGTTCCTTCGGTAGCATTCTCAATGTAGTCAACTACGTTTACGCCAAACTTTACAGGGATGCCTAGACGCATGCACTGGTCGTAAAACATGATTGACATTCCCGGTCGACTGACCATAGTCCTGATTCTCAGGGGCCAAGCAACATGAGGCTGGACATCGTCTCTGTTGTACTCGAATTCCTGAGGAGGGCATACTTCTTCACCGTCAAGTCTTCGGTACGAGCAGAATGCATCCCATGATTGGCGATGATACTCCTCGAGCATGCTCGGGTAGTCCTTGAAAGTTGCAAGAGCAGAAGGGCCGATGAAGATGACATCGCCTATGTCTAACGGTCAGATTGCTTCGAATACCTCTAGGTCTTCGGTCTTTCTACTAGATATGTCAGGGATAATACTCACCAATGGTTGAGTTCTTGCTGCTCTTCTCCACAACTTCGACATCGTGCCCCTTTTTCCAGCATTCGAGAGCAGTCAATAGACCGGCAGGACCACCACCGACGATGAGGATCTTGAGTCCTGTAGAAGGCCAGCGTAGTACACCGTCTAAGTAAAGGCTTTCGTGCGCTGGTTTGGGAACACCATCGTCTGCAGAATTGCCGTTGGTTCCTTGGGCTATGAGAGTCATAGTTGGCGCTTTTTCGACGGTTGACTTATCAGTATCCAGAATCTAGTTGCACTTATTACTGGAGCGAAAGACTCATGCTGTTGTAACCGAGACTGTTGAGACCGAGATATTTGGCTTATATACTTTTCCAATGCAATTGATTACTTGGTCTCGGTCTTGACGAGAACATCATGACGATCCAGTAAGGGCTTACACGGTCAAGAGACGGAGCAGGTTGAGTGGGGCTCGATATTGACGGCAGCACAATTCCGGCCTGCACGGCCGACGGCTCGGGGCGTTAGTCGCCCCCGATTCTCGGTAAATGCTGTATCTGTATGGAATAGGCCGCCCAGGGTTTCCCGAGGCCGTTGTGGAGCACGTCGGGAGCAGGCCATCAGTAACCAAGTCCTTTCTCGGTGGGATAATCTAATCCAAACGATCAATGACGATTGGGCGAGTTGAATCGTATACGCCATTCTATGGAGTCTCAAATCCGGGGTTGCCAGTCTTGCATCTGTCAACCCGACGGTTTAGCTGAACTCAAATAGCGGGACCTTGAGATGATGGTTCGGGGTAGCCCCGCTGGTCTACAACTTCGGACGGGTTCTGTTGAAAGCTTATCTTCAAACTGACGTGTTCACATAATTATCTTAGCTGACTTTCGCCAACGACTTGTCTCGAAATACGCCCTGTCCCCCAGTTGCTCATGCTGTGCCCTCTCTGTCGCGCTCTTACAGGATGGTCTCGGATCTCTGCGCGTGGGATACATCTACCTTAGGTAAGCACTCAAAGTGTCGGACTAACTGCGTCATGATCAGACGTACCGCATCGTCTGAACTCCAAGTACGTGTGTTTACGCGACTATTCGAAGTCGGATGAACTTATGATTGTCCGATTCCATTATCGTTTGCATCACGATCAAGTCATACTAAAAGACAACCTCGGAGACTAGAAAACATCATTGTAAAGCTGGATTACACCACGAAGCAAACATAGAGCCGCAGCCGAAAACAATCATGACATTCCAGCGTGCGCAACAAGATCGCTGTCAACCACAACCTAACATGCCTCAGAGTCTAGTGCTTTGACGACTTAGTCACACTGCGATCGAGATCACAAGGGCTGCATTTTGTCTCACATACTCGATTCAGTACCCATGACGATTTTCTTCTGTGAATATTTCCTTCATGCAAAGAGCATGCACACCTTGATCCACATACGTGCTTTCGGTCAAGGGGGAGTGATCGAGTAGGGGCATGCTGTGACCTCTTGACGCCATCATTATCTGTGGGAGTCTGAAATGTAGAACACTTCTTTTTCTACGCCTTAGTCGCCCGAACCACACTTTTGGTGGAGTATGGGGACCGCCTGAGCATTGGATCTTTCCCACGGCACTCTAGAACTTAGATCTTGATGAAGTTACTCCGTCGTCTACGCCAGGCAACATACCTTAGCCTAACGAGCCCACCGTCCAGGGCAAGCCTGTGAGGCTATTCCTCGACAACGGAAGCTAGGAGTCTTCTTTCCATCACCGAGTACCTAGAAATCACCCGTCAACGTAGTACTAATGCTGTCTCAGACCTGCTGGGAGCTCAAACTCCGATGCGAAATCTCCCAAGCCACCACATGCGGTGCACACCCTCTCATCAATCCACGGTTCACGTCTGGAATGGATCCTATTTCCATAAGCGAGACATGATTGATATCACTCTTTGTCGATGGTCTGCAACTGGGGCGGTAATTCCCTCGTGTCTCGACGTCTATGTATGCTTTTACGGCCCTCGCAAACTTTGTCCGTACATAACTTCAGTCAACATCTTCTTCAGCATGAATTCACCAACGGGAGACCTCTTTTTGTAGGCAAGGAACATCAGGAGGATGTGTGGGGTTTTGGACAAATAGCTGCGGTCATTGCATGGCTGCCCTTGGCCATCGAAATGACGAAGGAGATGTACAATAGCTGCAATACGAGCAAGCGAGGAGTAATAAGTCGGGATGACGGAAAACTCCGAAGGGACCCAGAGCGTGGTGCAACATAAGCCGCAATTTCATCGTATAGGGTCTTGTGTCATTGCCCAGACTGTTTGCTTTTCTTCGCTCTACCTAGATGGGTCAGTTTGAATCATTTCACATGCCCATTGCTGTGTACCATAACTCGTGACAATGATCCAGTATAGAGCTTGGAAGAGTACCTTCACCTCCAGGATGTGTCTGGCCAGTGACAGCTAGCCTTTATGTTCACGTGGTCGCTTCATCAGTCGATGGATCCCGGTCATGATGACTTGCTGGAAGAGGTGACTTGAGGCCTACGGAGCCAACCGCCAGCCATATTCTCCAAAGTGCTTACAGCCTAGCCTCCTACACCACATCAATCCAACAGGGCATAAGGTTCTCGAGAACTTGGACGCAACTCAGCTATCACATGAAGCTTAGAAGGCAAGGTGGGCCACAGAAGTAGGAAATGGTGGAGAATACCCTACAAGACGTGTCCAACGAGATGGGGTCACAACCAACCGCACCGCGCGTTTCCTTGACGACCAACTGCATGTTGTAACCGTACGAACTCCATTCTACCTAACCGATTCGTTCTGACGCACGGGTACCTTTCCTTTTGTGGAATTTCATAAACCCGTAAATATCATCTTCGCCGCTGGCCTGCATAATTGTCTCCAGACGAAGAGAGGGGTAACAGCATAAAAGAGAGGTCCAGTCCGAGTGTACACAAGCTGACACGAGAGTACCTTGTCGTTATTTTTCTTCTTCCAAAGATCGCAGAGAAAATTGCGAGGAACCGTTCAACTCACTATTTAATCTTCATTGCTGCCAATAACCGTTCAAAAATGTGCGGTGGTACTACCTCAGCCTCGCCTGCGGCAGCTGAGGCCCCTACTGCAGCCAACACAACGACTGTCAATGTTCCTGTCCAGCTTGTTCCTGAAGTACACACAGTGAACCACGGTGTAAGACCAGGCGAGTTTCTGACATGGTATAGGTAGCAAACGACAGCGCGTCAGAGCTTGGTGAGGTGAGATCACTCTCCCTGGGTATCTCATGGCATTTGTATGTTTCGAGCTCACATATGATATCAGAGCATCGCTTCATCGAGCACAAGCCTCTCCAGCTCAATTCTCGATTTTCGACTAGAGAACGGTAGAACGTATCACAGATACAAAGACGGCAGTGAGTCCCGGATTTTTTCCACTTAGCAGGCGAATGTCGGAAGACTGACAAATATCGAAGAATATCACATTCCGAATGACGAATCTGAGGCAGACAGATTGGGTATTTCCCCAACAAATTTGCAAAACTTCAAGATAGTAGTTGACAGAGTCACCAGACTTACAGCACAACATATTTCTTCTGACCCAAGACAACAAGTTGGGGCTTGCTCCGCCAAATGATCCCAAATCAAAGGTCGAGAGGGTCCTCGATGTAGGCACAGGCACTGGAATATGGGCAGTAGATTTCGGAGATGAGCATCCTGGGGCCGAGGTATATGACCTATCATGTCAGTTTGTGGCGCCTTTTTGACTCAAACAGGTTCTTGGAATGGACCTTTCCCCATCGATGCCTGAATTGTGAGTGCTGATACTGCTTACCGTTGGCCCTATTTCCCTGGGAAGAGAAAAGCTTACTTCTATTAGCGTCCCCCCAAATGTCAAGTTCGAGGTAGACGACCTTGAGGAACCCTGGACATATTCGCAGCCATTCGACTATATCCATAGTCGTGCGATGAACTCATCCGTCAGCGACTGGAAGGCTTATATGAAGAAATGTTTTGAGTAAGTTGTTGAGACAATCTAATACAAAATAAATCACTGTGCGCACTTGAGGCGTTTTCATGCTTACATGTACAATGGCAGTAATCTGACACCTGGTGGGTACTTCGAGATGCAGGAGTTTGATCTTTATCTCAAGTCAGACGACGGTACTCTGAAGCCAGATCATGCCGTTTCCAAGTGCATCGACTTGATGTATGATGCGTCTGTTAAATTCGGACGTCCGTATCAGGATGTGGCACCTCTTGCAGAGGTCATGAAGGAGGTCGGATTCGTCGATGTAACGATGCATGTAGACAAGTGGCCCACAAACCCATGGGCTAGGCAACGCAAGTACAAGGAGCTCGGTATATGGAACAACGAAAACATGACATCCGGCGTTGAAGGGTTTACTATGGCGGCTTTCACTAGGGCCCATGAGTGGAAGAAGGAGGAAGTCCAGGTCTTCCTGATTGACGTAAGGAAAGACTTGAAGGACAGGTCTATTCATGCGTACTGGCCAGTGTAGGTCAAATTTTGTATATCTGGGTACTGTAGGCTGACTCGTGATTCCAGGTACTTCATTTACGGTAGAAAGCCAGCAGAGAAAATTGAAGGGGAGCAGCAATAGTAAGGTCGCAGATTATCTGCTGAATGGGAGCCGGGGAGCGACTGGGGGTGAGAGGGCTATCATACTTACCTTACTGGGAGCATGTTGCTAAGCTATCACAGTGCTCAAGAATAAAAAAAGTTGTTGTGAGACCGCATTTTCTTCGCTCGTCAATTCATTTTCTCAGTGCCCGCACTTCAGCGGTCCCACTGGTCACCGAACGATGCTGAACTACTACCTGGCCATAATGCTCTCTTCTTCCAGGTGTTCGTCCAAGGACGAGCCGTGGCGGGATGAAAGCTTGTGCTACATTTTGGTACCAAGGTGCTCCCTTTCTTGAGAGATATGGGTTCTTGGGAAGTTTACAAGCCACCTTAGTTTGGCAGCAACGGTAATCGTGAAGCTTAATTGTCTCCTTCCGGAGAAAGATCAGGAATTGTGGAATAAATACCTTTCACGCTCCCACCCAAAGACCAGCTTTAACCTGGCCGTATGCATTCTCCTAGAGGATGCACCAACGATTCTGTTCTTATCTACCTTACTTGAAAAAGCAACACTACGCTTTCTCGCCATACACTCAAAAATAGTGTCTTCAGGCCTGAGCTCAGCTTAAATACACGTCAGGACAAAATCATCAATATTGCATCAAACGTCAACATGTACATCCCGGAGGGACGTGTTGACTACTTCTCCGCCATCCGCGACCTCGGCATCTCCGACTCCAAACTGAAGGCTATGGAAGACATACCCTTCCCTCAAGCACTCTTCTTGATATTTCTCAGCTTCATCTTCTTCGGAAGCATAGCGCTCGGAACCAATACGCTTGTGGCCTACCTTGATGACCGGTACAATCCACCACAATACTACTACGGGGACAACCTACGAACGGTGCCCCTTCTGCGCAGCTTTAGGGATCAGTCAGAGCCGCTCCCTCGATATGAGCGCGAGGACCCTACTGCGAGACCGCTTCTTGCTTTCGAAGGGAACACTCCGCCTCCCGCGTATGGTACTGTCTTCCATATTCCTGCGCCATATGAGGACGACGAGGGCGACGAGGACTATGCAGCAGGATCGTCATCGGTTGCACCAGACAGCAGCTATACCGTTTACATGGTCTAACGCATACCACATCTCCTTGCTACTACACGAGTCGACCAAGCGATGCAGCCAGAGCGTATTCGCTAGCAACACACGCCGTCCAGCTGCCAACCATCTGTGATTGGTTCGGATGATGGAGATCGCTTTCCTACTTCGAGCCGAGATGTACTGGGGAGCTCCTAGGTCAAGGACAACAAAATGGGATACGGGGATAGGCATAGGAAGAAAGGCATGGTGGGATGATATCATGGGAAACGGCAGAAAGGTCACAACGACCAGAAGAAATCCAGCCTCGAGGTCTTGAGGATGTCTTATTTCGGCGTTCGGGCGTATTGGCGTTCTAGTATCGAGAGTTCTTGCCCTCTAGCATTCGTTTGATTTGGAAAGGGGCACTGGGGTCGTTGGCAAGCAAGCATGCCGAAATGAGACTTCAGCTCCAGATGGTTCGCTTGGCGACGGCAATATACGAGGTAGCCTGCAATCACTTCATACAGCCTAATCATCCATTGACGCACATCTTATCATCCATTTATTTTATTGCGCGAATATTACCGTGCCATGTCAACAAAGTACACTCTCAACATGAGTGCCTTGCCTTCGTGTTAGCTCCAGTCGTTCTCGACCGCAACAGGGATTATCTGGCCACAACTACGTCAAACCAACGAAGCCATCGCTTGTAAATATGCATGAATGACCATTGCCCAAAATCAAAAGAGTACTGATACAAAATATCCAGCAATGGCAAAACTGAAGGGCTCAATCGGGATTCGAACCCGAGACCTCGCCCAATTTCGCGCTGTGCGCAAGGATTGGTAAACCCGAAGGGCGAATCATACCACTAGACCATTGAGCCAGGGGATCCCTGCGGGATCCAATGAGTGGTTCCGACGGTGGCGACTTGGCCCCAGATTATGAAATATATAGTCTTGAAGTCCCGCGGTGTGACAAGTTGATCATAGATGTTCAAAGATACGAGCGCAAAGCAGTGTAAACCCTGAACATTTAAACATCATGTGTGGTGAATCATAATTCAACTGCCAATGGAACACAATGCTACAACAAAAAAGTACCTTTACACATCCGCGCTGGGATCCATGTCTCTTGGGGTATCTTCACTGCAACCCAGCCAACCTCCTGAAGCCAACATTCTCGACGACCCTCAGCCCGCCGTTCAGCGTAATAATCCCCTTCCCGCCAGCAGCAAGTCTGTCATCCACCTTGCCCATCGCCATCTCACTCATGAATTTGCCCAGAATCTCTGTCGGGCTGACAAAAGACGGCATAGTTGTTCGAACCACGGGGCCGAGGAACATGTTCATGGCGTTGTACAGCGCGCCGGCGTTCGGCGCATAGGTTTCGACGGCCTTGTGGCCGGCCTTGTCTACGAAAGCAGGGCGGACAGATTCGGTGCGCAGACGCGGGTTTGCGGCGCGCATCTCGGAGAGGAGGGTCTCAGTCTCGCCCTTGACACGGGCAAAGATGGCGCTGAAGCGGCCCGGCGTCTGCGTTGCGCCCTCGCCTGAAACGTAGATGAAGCGGAAGGGTTCGTTGTTCGGCGGTAGGTTGGCGAAAGCCTTTGCTGCTTCCAACGTGTAGTCCTTTGTGATTTTGACATAATCCCTGTGGCAGTGTAAGCACTTCTCATATTTGCTGGGGTGGTTGGAGGGGTTGTGCTTACTCTTTGCTGACCTTGTTCTGGCTGATGCCCAGTGCCCACACAGCGCCATTTGCGCCCTTGAGCTTGTCGAGTACGTCTGCGTCGTACTTTTCAAAGTCCTTGTGGATGATAACATTGATTCGAGGGTCTTTTGCGGCTTCGGCCATGGGGATAGGGCTTCGGCTGAGGACTGAGATCTTTGTGATGTCCTTCATCTTGATCATGGCATCGAGAACGCCTGAGCCTACAAGGCCAGTGGCTCCGGTGAGGATGAGATGCATCTTGTAAGTGGTGTCGGTTGAGTCGTGTTTTTAGAAATGACAACAACGTGGGCGTGAGAACGCTAGCTTGTGCTTAATTGCCCTGGATATCAAAAGTAAACAAGATGAGAGAGTGATCGTCTGCATCTCAGTCAGGTCAGCAGCGATCCGGCCGTCTTTTCAATCTTAGCCGTCTAAGACGGAGCGGGCGGTGCGGCCGCGTCGTGCGGACATTGAATCCACCCTGGTGCCAGAGCAGACGAATTAAAGAGTCATCTGCCGGCGGGAGGCGTCCCGGAGTTAGCGCTATCGCCATCTCACGGCGCCTGAAATGCGTGCGCGGCTGCTTCTGGAATCTGTACCAAGGCAGTAAGACCTCAAAAGGACCAAGTCCGAGGCTTATGGGCCTGTGGAGGGACTTCTGTCTGCCTGACGGGACATTGTTGCACCGCACAGTTATTAACTCCATCCAGTCATGCTCACAAAGTCCTTGACCGGTGTGAGGCATTCATCTGAACCTGATGCTGGCCGGTTACGTCTCAAAACTTACGTCTAAGTTTGCCTTGGTACCTAGCTGTGAGAGGAGGGCCATCAGCAAGCAGCCACTGCGCCGTTAAAGCCCCAGGTCGCTACATGCTGTCGCAATCGCACTGGACTGCAGCTAAAGTAGGTAAGGTACTACAGAGCATTAGAGTAGAATGCAGCAGGAGTCCGCTGTTATTCCCGCCAAACGCCGAAATTACAGAATCTCCGCAGCGGAAAGCATCTCCCGTAGCCATGCTGAGATGGTTGGTTATTCGTCTTTTGTAGTGGACTTCGGTGTTCATCCGTCTGGTTGGGCTTTTTTTTTCTTACTCTTAAATTCTTCACGTTGAATTATTCAAGGTCGAACACTAATCATCAGACTTAGTAAGTGTTCGTGGTCTATCATCTTCCCGCCTACTAGTACATGATGGAACCCTCTATTAATTTCTCTTTCGTGTATTTGCTTCTCCTATAGCCCTTCCATTCTGCCCTGTTGCGCCCTCGGAGCGCGCTCTTGCCATCTCCTTTCTTGCTGATTCTGTCCTGCCTCAGCTTCGTCGGTAATAAGCACCCAAACACTAACTACCTTACATACTTTACAACGCAGACAAGATTACCTAGAGATTGGCTATCGGGCCGCAGTGAGTCGACAAACGAATTCCTTCCTCAACAAGGAATCAAACATCTGTTTCTCGCGCTGCTCAAGCTTTTTGTCAGCAAGTCGTCAACAAATTGACATACAGCCAGGCAGTAGGGCACGTACCTTGAGTTTCGTCCAGATATTCCCCCATCCCTCCTCGAAGATCTCTTATGCCACCTAACCACAAGTGGCGACGCTGCATAATGTCTTGAGCGCGAGAATACTGTAAGTTTTTGCTTTCAAGCCCCTTTTCGTAAAGGCGGTGGGACGTTATATCCCCCTCATTCCTCCACACACTTCTTCATAGCCTTCATACAGGCTTTGAAGCCTGTCTCCACCTCTGGCATCGGCACCTCTTGCTGGCCCCTAGCCCACCCCCCTTGGGAGTCATACCTGACCATTACATGCTCATAATAATAATTATCTCTCTCTCTAGCTCCTCCCTACCCACCTGCGGCAACTTGCCGTAGATATACTGTAGCTCGACCTCGGTGTCTAGCTTGCGCAAACGCTCTGCCAATGCAGACTCCAGGGGGGGCTCTGTCCTCCGTTTCCCTTGAAAAGTGTCCCGAAGCACCACCTCACCGCTATATCGCCTTACACCCGCGCAGGTAGAAGATGAAATCAGTGAAGTACAGATACAATTGCTTGACAAAATCAACTCCACGATATAGCTCTGGAGCCAGCAGTTGATGACACTATTTACAAGTATATAAGAAGTCAAACATCAAGCTAGCCTGGTTGTAGAACCTGTACAAGCTCTGCATCAGAGCTGGTAATTGTAAATTGCTCTCGAGCAGAATATGCTAGGAAAATTCTGAGATCTCTCCCATTCCTATTTCTCTCAGCAACCCGGAGTCATCGATCTCACTCCCGCCATTGACGATTTTGACTGAGAAGTCAGAAGCGGAACGGTCTGGTGGGCTGAAGGTCGTTGCGAACTTGTGGCCTTCGCCTCTTCTGGCTGGCAAGGCCTTTGGTGTAGCTACGAGTCTTGGCTGGTGTTGGTTGGAGTGGCCTGCTTTGGTGCTGGTCGTTGTCGGCGTACTCATTGCACAGGTATATCGAAATGGATAACGCATTGTGCAGGCTTCCGATGAATCCTGGGCCGGATTGAAAACTCCAAATCTTCTATAGTCCTGCCTTATCACGGTCCGCCTCCGTCAGACGCAAAGCGGACCAGAGGTCATAGAAGCGTGGACTTGCATATCGCCGATACCGCGGACCACAGATCTAGCCTCGAAGTAGATAGATCCCTTGGTATTCTTTTTGTCGAGGTTGCTGAGGACCCGGAGGTACCCAAATAGCCATGAATAACACCTGAGTAACTGAAAAACTCAAAGAGCTTCATGTCGAAATCGCCCGCTTTCCAGGTGACTTCGGAACGGTCTACTTCCTTGCTAACGTTCTTGCGGTTCGGGTAGTGAAATTGACCATTGACGCTCGTCCCAAACTGTGGACTTGTGAAAGCCAATTGAGATACATTCCATCGGCCGGGTAATATCCCTGTTCTCGACGTGAGCTTACTTCTCAATGCCACAGAAATTAGTTCTACTCGAGACACGATGGATATGATGACGCATGCGTCGTATCAGGAGGACGTAATCAAGGTAGTGTAATACTCACAAACTTCGGACTACTGATGGAAAGGTTGACTCGGCCAAAGACGTGCGTCTTACAAGGCGTGATCAAACCAGGGTCGGAGAGCCCGACGTGATCACAAGAGGGAGAAGAGATTTAGTTCCCATCTTGGGCCCGTGGACCTCTTCGAGAAGGGGTGAAGATTTGACGAAACCTTCAGCTTCTTTCGAGTGACGATTAAAGTATAATGTGCAGGGGACCCGAGCCTTTCAGAGCACCAGATGCGTCGAGATCCAAAGCAGCACTGGAAAGCAATGCCGTCTATCTGCCTAGATTTTCGTCAATTCAACTGTCTAAGGTGTGCGCAGACGAATCTATCAAGGTAATTACTGTGCCTTGCGTCGACTGAGGTGAGTTGTTACTGGTAAGTATCACAAGCTCCCAGCCTCGGCAAGGCCACCTAAAGTAAGGCACGCTAATGCGTAGGCCATAGCCGACATTTGTCAGTGTGAGGAAGTGATGACACGTGGCTAATGAGGATAATCTCGCATGAGTGAATTGAGTGAAAGGGGAAAGACCAGCGAACGTCAGTGACGGGGCGCCATGGGTCCATGACGACGTGATACTGTCGTGGATTCATGTTGTGGCAAGCATACTTCAAATTCCCTGGAGTGAATACCGCAGTAGAAAGCTTGATCAAGATGCGGAAAAGAGAGCTGAGACGGGGAGCAAGGAGCCATTCATATAGCCAAGGCTTCTCTCAGAAATGCGACTAATGGACTAGGTTGTATGGGACATCCTGGTACCCATTTGGCCGTAAATAAATGTGTACAAACAAACATTTACATCTAGAACTAACAACTGCCGAGCTTCCATCTTATTTGCGGCCATATTTTTCAACGAAGAGGAGAGATTCCTAGCAAATAATTTTCGTATCTGGCTTGCAGTCTAATCAAGCACGCGGTCTAGGACTGAGGTGAGAGAATTGATTTTCGCCACTCGGTTCGTCGCATGAAGACGCAATGTTACAGAATAGTAGACTGACTTTTGAGAGAACACCACTACAGATGTTTGTGTTCTGGATTCACAGGCAGTGTTTCCAATGGACGGAGGGGTGCATTATAAGAACATCTCAGGCATAGCGTTGAAGTTCATGATGGAACTGAATCCGAACCCATTATTGTCCTGGAATCAAGTTAGAAGGTGGATCAAACCAGTTTGGGGCTTTTAGACAAGATGATTTACCAAAGATGTGCCCCAATCCCAATCCCCGAGCATGTCAACGCCGGCATCAAAGTCCATATCCAAATCGTGGACATCGGGCATGCTGACTCCTTCCTCAGTCACATCGCCTCCAGCCAACTCCTTGAGTAAATCATGACACTCCTTAACCCGCTCCTTGCACGCCTCCTCGAAGAATTCCTCAATCTTTTCGTCACTGACGCCCTGCTCCAAGCCACGAATATGAGCAATGAGAAGTACACTCAGCGCGTGGCCCTTAATGTTCGTCTCTCCGGATCGAATTCGATTCCGCGACCAGTTGTACACAGCGTCGAGAATACCGCGCAGCTGATCTTCAGAGCCGCTATAGAATATGGAGTGCCCATTCCTCACTTCCTCCTCCTTGATGTTGATGAGCTCCAACCCTAGTGTCATGACGCCCTGGAAGGGAACAGATCGGTAAAACCCGGCACCATTAATCGTCAACCGATGGAAATCCACCTCGGACGGGGTCGCAGGCTTCATCGTGGCGCCAGTGCCAGACTTGTCAGGGGCCAGAAAGGCGACCTCACACAGCCGCAAGGCCGTGTCGACGACCATCTTACGAGAGAAGTAGTAAACAGGATTCCGCAGCGCCAGCGGAGCGATCGGGTGGTGCAGGGCGAAGAAGAGCCGGTACGTTAGGGATTGAACGTACCGCAGCTGGAAAGAGGTGACGGCCGAGTACGCCTTGAGCTGCTGCATCATCTTTTGGAGCACTCCGCTTAGTTCATTGCTATGCCGAAGAGTCTCTTCGTACACTGTGTCTGAGCGGAATTCATTAACGCGCTTTGCTACAGCAAGACGAGCTGCGAATGTTCCGAACAATGCTAGGGGAACCGTCATTTGTGTGTGTGTACCCGGATCCCTGGGCACGGGGAAGGCGGACTCGCCATCTTCGACGAGTTGCTCGTCATCCAGGTTTGCCGGTAATTCAGTGTCGAAGTCGTCTAATGAGATGAGAGGCGGCCCTCCAGAGTCGACGCTCGTCTGCAGAGTCATCTCTAAGATGGTGACCCATAGCCTCCGACGAATTTCAGCGCGGTATGGAGACATTTTGATGATTGATTTGGGGTCGCGATGCAGTCCCATGTACATGGCCGTTCTGAGGAGAGCACCAGCGCCGATCCAGGTGAGATCACAGCCGATATTGGCCGTGTGACGAAGATGGTGCATCAAGCATCGGATCTGCAGCCCGGGAATAGTCATCTTGGATTTTTCGCAGGGGGCAATGAGCCAGAACATGGCTTCCCAGAACCACTGGATGGCCAGGTTTCTGAGAGTAAAGCGTTCGTCGTGCATTGTGGCGCCGATGCCCATGCACAGCTGCATGGTGATGATGAAGGAGTCGCTTGCCTCAGAGGGGTTCAGCCAGTATTTTTCGTGATCTGCTTTGAAGGTTGGGACGTGGATGATGCGGTGGATGCACTCAAAAGTACGCAAATAATTTTCGAGGAGAACATCTGCTAACTCTCGTGAGGGCATGCTCTTGCCAGTTGAGAGTGTGCTGAATGAGGGGGTCCGGCGGGCTTTGATGATGCGGCCTAGCTTTTTGCATCTTTCTAAATCAACGTAGAGTTGAGATGATCGACGGTTCTCAAACTTCCTTGCAAAGTTGACGAGACGGTATAACTGTAGTAAGTGTAAGTGTCTCCTACTACGCTGATAGTCTGTGAAAAGGAGTGTGTCTAGTGACACAACTGGATGATAGTAGAACAATAAAGGACAGATGAGCCATTAGAGACAGTTGACCCATAGGGAACAACGAACAATGACTGGTATCATAAGACTTGAAATGGAAAGATGAGTACTGACCATGTCAGCCGCATTCATCCAATGACTTTGCCCAAAGTAACGAGTCTTGCTAACGCAGCCACGGCTATACCTCAACCCCTCTCGAAGGCCAGGCGCAGGTTGAGATATATCCTCTTGCCTAGCACCGTACTTCACAGTGAGATCCGACAACTGCTGCTCAAGTTGCTTCACCCGATCAACCAGAGAGTTCACCGTCGACGAGGAACCGGGGCAGCTTCCAGGAGTCGACGCCGTCTCCGCTCTCACACTTACGGAGGCCGGAGGCCGCATAGGGTTTACGGGCCGCCAGATCCCAAAGTCTGAGAGGCCGCCATGTTCACCGGGGTCAGTAGGGTCGAAGAGAGGGTTTCCGTCGAGTGTCCTTGGGTCATGTGTGGCAGGAGATGCTTCTGACAGGGGCCGAGAAGTAGGGATGATCGGTTCTGGAAACCCGAGACCCGACTCACTAGCCTTAGTCGAACCGTGAACGGGGTCTTTGAAGTTCTCTAGCCGTTTTCGAGTGGGTAGAGTGGTATCTGTACTAACGGCGGAAGAGGAAGTCACCGGGTGTCTCGCCCGCAGCGACGAGGGCGTGGGAAGAATAGAGTCCGGCAGGCGGAGAGCCGTGTGAAGAGAGCCCTCGGTGCCTTCATCCCCGTGTTTGGGACTGTTCCTAGTCGCCGGCTTTGTCTGCGAGGTGTATGTGCAGAGGGCGTGTTTGGATCGGATGCAGGTGCTGCAGGGGAGGTTCCTATCGCAGCGGACTTTCCGACGGCGGCATTGTTCGCATGCCAGGGCAGGCCTACGCCGCTTCTTCGGCGCCGAGGACTGATCTGAGCTTCTCAAAGAATCCATTTTGGGGAGTACCACAAGTTTCTGGTGGGAAAATTGGGAAATGGGGGGAGGATGCGATCGTGGGACGTGGGCTGGGCGAGCTTGGTGGGATGCTCGGCTTTTTGAACTGAGTCCGAATCTCACCCCAGCAGATCAGGCCCAGTTTATTCAAAGCTGTTGCCTGGGCCGGGAACAAACGGATTAAGAATGCGACTGGAAGATTTTCTAAAAGATCTTATCAGATGATCAGATAACTGTGAGTTGTGAAGGGGGAGGAGGACGATGAGTTTGATGGCGAAGGGAGTAAGACGGAGCTTATCCCCGCCATGTCGTCGGAATATTTGCGGTTATGGTCTGTTCAGCCCGCCATACACCGAGGTTTCTAGCAGTTTAATTGGTCGAAACCTCGATTCATGAAATCACCGAGCTGCGTTCGAATTTGCCGAATCGCATCCTTTCGGACTTGAATACCCCTGACGCGTAGTACCGGGAAACATTGAGATCCAGAGGCCTCTGTTGGTAACGGTCGGATTCATGACCCATGTAGGCAATCCTTCTGGTGAATGGTATCTAGTTCTCTACAACGGCAGCAAGGCCATCCATTTCTCACTGTCTCGCATTTTGCATCGCCCTTGTTCATGTGCCTTGCTGACATCTTCCATGTGTTACCGCCCTCATTTTGTTGCTTACCTCCCTCAAATGCAACTTGCCACACGCAATAATCGTGGACTTGACGCTTCAAGTATCTTTCTACTGGTTCCTGTGAGATCACAATGCAAGTGCTGGTGTTGCATTTTCGGCAAGCCTTCATGCTCCAAAATGCCGTAAGTATTCGAAATTCCGCGTGCCGATGAGCCGCTCTCAGCTACCTCGCTTTCAGTCCGGCTCGTTGTTGAAGAGGCCAAGAACGTCCAGCGTGAGCTCTATATCAGCCTTTTGAAGACTCCTGCTAGGACAGACTTCTGAAAGGATGATGGAAGAAAGTTTGAACACATGCATATAGAGTTTCTTTCTCTCTGGGTCCTATTTAAGAACATACTCTTTGTTAGGAGTCAATGAGAACCGTTTTGGTGGTAATGACAGGTACTATAAGTATGTACATGAAGCATCTCAGGCTAATTAATGATATTTTATTCATTTCACAGCCGACTCCCTACTTATTCTAGGGGATGAGGACTAGGCCCTTCGCTAGTGAATGATGAAGTTTGGGAAATGAGGTTCAGGGTCTGTGTATGCCTCATTCAAGCATCTCCAACAAATAGAATCGTCCCCAAGGACAGCCAAACAATGATTGTGGCCCTGTTGAGTCAGGATTGACGCGGCGGCGAGTCTTGCCGCCCAGTTCTTGTTTGCTCTCATGATGGCCGGTGACGCTGGGGGGTCTAGAAGCTCTTCCCAAGAGTCTAGCGTAACAATGTCGACTTCGGGTAAGTCACCGCGATCACAGATACACTCGAAATCGTCGACAGTAGTCAGACCCGCCCTTTCAATCTGCAGGACATCGATGTCGGCAACCCATTGACCATCCTGTTGAACAGCGATGACTGACTCTATCAGGACGACCTCGTTGTCGATCTGTCCAGTTTGCCCACGGCCATCCACTGACCCAAGAGGCAATTTCCAATCCGTGAATGATAGATGAAGCGAAGTCCCTTGGAAGCTATCTCGGCTTTTCCCATCGTAAATCTGGTGTTGAATCATGCTCGTGTTGTACTTACGAGCACGGATCATGGGATCTCGTGGCGCAATCATTAGAACCATGCCTGGCTTGCCTACGTTTCCTACGAGGTGTCGGAAGTTCATTCCCAAGTTACCAAGTGATGATGATCTCGGGTCGCTAAGAAGAATCCCGGCGACGAAAATGGAGTCTTCGCAGCTCATGGCGATGACGTCCCTCGTTTCATCGGTGCTGATATTGAAGATCCCAGACTCGAACATCGCGATGCAAGCTAGTGAATTCTCACGAGACATATTTCGACAATATTCTTCAGTGGATGTTGATAACACGTTGTTGGCACTTCCTACATGTTCGCTCCTGAGAGACTCTGGAAGCCAGCGGGCCTTGTGAAGCTTTTGTTCCACAATTCTCAACGAGATGGTAGCTGTTGGCATGTTGTCGTAAAGAGCCGAGGCTATCTCCAGTGCACGTAGAGACACAAGCCATTCTAGAGGGGCACTTCGAAGCGAGTTTTGCGAGCTTTCCGACGCGGTTGAAGTATTCGATGGAGGCTGGAGTTCCGCAACGGTCTGGGCACCGTGTTTGGTTTGTCCCTTTGTTTCATGCGATTTGTTAGGTGAGCGATATTAGACCGACATCAGGGGGTTTGCTTACCTTGACATTGCTGGACAGAAGCTTGCGCATGACGGTATCAGGATCTGGACTATTGTCAAGACACAGTAGGCTTGTCTGTAGGTACATGTCTGCGATATCTAGTCCACGAGTAGTACGTTGCCCTCTAGCAACAAGAATATCGAACTCGAGACCAAGAATGTCACTGAAACTGAAAGAAATCATGTCCAACACCATGCCGGGCTCATTGAAGAGTGGTGGTGGGTTTTCCCAAGTCCAGTCCTTTGGAGTCTTTAAGCTTGTGCTGTGCTGATGCTGATTTTGATTGTGGTATTGCGGAACGTCCGAAGTATTCAAGACAACTTTGCATGCATCTCCAGCAAGAGATATTTCTCTTGCTCGCCGAGATGTGCGGTCGCTTTTTTCCAAACCACTAGCTCTCTTGTCTGGTCTGAAGGAAATCCACCTAGCGTTCCGTTTGACTGGAGTTCCGGCCCTCTCAATGTGGGAGCGATAGGAAACACCAGTGACTGACGCATCCTGAGGTGTTAGTGTTGCCCATTCCGTATAGATCCCATCCAGAGTCCGATCCGTGTAACTCAAGACGGTCTGGTCTGGTCGCAGTTTTGCGCGAGCTGCCAACTTCCTGAGACACTGAAAACCGACTTCGATTGTCTTGTGTTTGTCTTTGCCTCTAAACATCCCGGGATCCGCAAGCCCAAAGTACGGATTTCGCACGGCTCCTTGGCTTCCCAGGAAATGCAGCGCACGCCGGTGCCCGAATTTGACTAGCGCCGTTGTCATCTTTTGCTCTGAGTCTGAACTTGTTGAAAACGACAAGACTGCATCGCACATTCTACGTAGCCAGGAGATTTCAACAGAGTTGCGTTGCGCGGTCTCTTGTATGACTTTCCCTAGTTTCTCGAACCAGGCAATGGAGTCGTCGACGTTTGATAGGCTGACTTGCCACTGGCGTAGCGTAGTCCCCATAGCCACGAGCCATACTTGTTTGCTGGTAATACGCTGATCAAGAGACTCTTCGCTTCTGACGCTGACCGGATTTCCATAGTATCGAAGATGTGACAGAGCTAGGGACCACGTCTTGAAGTTCCCTTTCTGGTCCATACGGTACTCTAGGCCTAAGCTAAGCACTGCCGAGTCGTGGAAGAGCTTGTCTCCGAACACAACGTTAGTCGTTTCCTTCTGGAAGACCAGAAGATTCGGATACAGATGCCACGATGATATGGCAAATAAGACGAGCTTGTCATCTGCTTGTTGTGGCTTGTTGTTTAGGAGTCTCTCCATGGTCTCCAATGTACGGATCCAGGCCCTTGTAACTTTCTCATACATCGTTCCAGTATCAATGAATGGGGTGTTCACATTGTTCATGATGAGGGTAAACTGATTATGCTTCAGGTCCATGGAGCGGTCAGCCCTCCGGAGCCAGGCTCTTGCGCTTGCGTCCCATTTGGCGAGGTCATCTCGGGTAATGTCCTGGTAATTGGCGGCCTCAGTATAAGGGTTGACCGGTCTACGGGCGTCAATGAGAGCTTGAACTTGAGCCTTGCGGTCATGAATCAATTCAACCCAGATGGACGTTGCTGTCTTGGCGTCCCAAACGCGGGCCAGGATGCATGCTAGCAGGTACGCCCCAATAGACGCGGGTGTAGAGGTCGCGGCAGCCCAAATGCATGTTCCATCAGCACCAATGAAGTCTTTGAAGGGGCCATCCTGGGTTGTGCCTTGGGGGTTGATGTTCGGACTGTCGAGTATATCTGACGCACGGATGCCAATAGCCTTTAGTAGCTCAGGAGTATCGGGCAAAATGTCATTAAAGAGGAAGCCAAGACGACAGGCGGTTTTATGCAGGATGCCGTCTTCTGCCTCTTTTCTCCTCCATGCTGTTAGAGCCGAGCCCACTCGCTGGAATTCGACTGCAGGATTGCCGCGGAAGAGCGAGATATCCAGATTGACGTTGACGAGAGCAGGCGAGATTTCATTTCTGACTGAAACCAGAGAGGTTTGGAAGTTGCCAATGTTTGCCATGTTTCAAGTCATCAAATCGAGATTGTCAAATTATTAGTCTCTTTCGGTAGGGAATGAGAAAAGAGAATTCAAGTGACAAAGGTAACGTCTGACATGGCGTGTTGAGGAGAACCCAGAGACGCTTGAATGAGTGAGAAGTGTCCGGGGAGGGGGTTTCTATTTACTACCATAGTGTAGTTGTGTTCAGCCACAGCAACACATCAGGCGACAGGCGGATAGTGCGCCTGACTTTAGGCTTTAACTTGAAAGAGAGACCGCTCATTCATCACTATGCGTTGGTTTCGCACATGAATCTGCCTTGTCCAGAACTTGCATACGCCACCATGTCATTTAAGTATGGCTAGACCGCCCCCGCCTTGAAGTCGGGCAATCTGCATAGGTACTTAAGTGCCGTTTAAGCCAATCAATCCCACTTTGAGGCTTCTGATGATAGTAAAAGCCCTTTGAAGTACTTTGATACAGGCTTGCCAGAGTCTCCGCCTGCCAGCCCCGGAGGAGAGCTTGAGCGCAACGGCATACCTCAGGGTATTTTCGCTTGCTGATTTGGTGATGTACGAACGCTTGCGTCAATTGTTTGAGATGCCCCTTTGTCAGCTGTCATGTCCCATCTTACTGGTTTGGGGAGAGGATTTCGCTGTGAGCTGTGCGACGCAGCAAAACTCAAAAGGGCTTTGGGAGTGTTCGAAGGAAATTGGAGATAGCTTGGTGGACCATATGTGATATGTATACCATCAAACCACGCTCAGAATGTCAGGCCTTTCTGCCCACACCCGGAAGGCAACGCCTCTGCATTTCCGAGGTGCTCTTCCGGCGGTAGATCGATGCCTCCCTGGGGATCATGTCTTGCACAGGCATATTCTTCTCTAATATGCTACATCATTGGGATGTTTTGCTAATGTCGACAACACATGTATGAGGACACTCTGAATGAGAACTGTTTTACTCGAGACTTGATGCATGCGGGACAACGCTTCAGACAATTGCCATGCTGGACTCTGGAAGCTTAATCTCTTAACCCATCCATTTGCCATTGAGATGCACATTCACGGCACGGATAAGGGCGGAAGTTGCCAGGATGGCTTTAGCTTTCAACGGTAACTGCTTGGATTTCTAGGGAAAATGGGAATAGGAGACCAAATGTACAAGACAGAAACCTCTTCCGCACCCGAGATGCAGCATTAGTTCAGGAGATCATTGTACACGGGAAGTAGGTTGTGGTAGGGGGTTCGTTCCTCGTTCGCCGCCGAGCAGATGGTGTATGCTTTCGGCCCGTCTTTCACTGCCCTCCGCTTCCTCCCTTTGGCAAAAAAGCCACAGGTCATATCCATCGGCCTGGATTGTCTATAATTCTCTCACGCCGGATACGCCTCTTCGAAACTTTCACGTCATGCCTCTTTTTTGCCTCCGCACGCGCAACGCAACGTCAACAACAACGACAGCAGATTTTGCTTACAAAAGGAGCTCGAGGGGGTTCTCGAGAACCTTCTTGAGCTCCTTGAGGAACTCGGCACCAACGGCACCGTCAACGACCTTGTGGTCGAAGCTGCCGGTGATGGTGATTTGGTCATCGAACTCGACGCCGGTGGTGCCGTCCTCGGACAGAGCGGGGACAGCGACCTTCTTGGTGGTACCGATGGCGAGAATGGTGGACTGAGGGGGGTTGATGATGGCGGTGAAGCTGTCGACGGCGTCGTTCATGCCCATGTTGGAGATGGAGATGGAGCCGCCCTGGTACTGCTCAGGCTTGAGCTTGCCATCGCGGGCGAGCTTGGCGAGCTTCTTGACCTCAGAGGAGATACCCTCGAGACCGCGGGCCTCGACACCGGTGACAATGGGGGTGATGAGGCCAGTAGGGGTGGAAACGGCGACGGAGACGTCGACGGTGTTGTGCTGGCGGATGACATCGCCGAGCCAGCTGGAGTTGGCCTGGGGAACCTTCTTGGAGGCGACACCGATGGCCTTGATGAGGAAGTCGTTGACTGACAGCTTGTACTTGCCGTCAGAGGAGGCGTTGAGGGCCTGGCGAAGCTTGAGGAGCTTGCTGACGGAGATGCTGGAGGAGACGAAGAAGTGGGGGTTGGTCTGGGTGGACTCGACGAGGCGGGAGGCAATGGTCTTGCGCATGCCGCTGATGGGGACGTCCTCGTAGGAAGCGCCGGGAGCGGCGACGACGGGGGAAGAGACAGCCTTCTTGACATCCTCCTCGGTGATCTTACCACCCTTGCCGGAACCCTTGACGTCGCGAATGTTGATGCCCTTCTCCTTGGCGAGGCGAACGGCGGTGAAGGAGGCGTTGGGCTCACGCTCGAGAGCGTTCTCGAGCTTGCCGGCGGGCTTGTTGAAGTCGTCGGAGGAGTTCTCGGGCTCGGGGGTAGGGGCAGGCTTGGACTCGGACTCCTTCTTGGGCTCCTCCTTGGGGGCAGGCTTAGACTCACCACCGGCGTCGGCGGCGGAGAAACCCTCGAAGGCGCTGACATCAGTGCCCTCCTCGACGAGGACGGCAATGGGCTGTGAAGGGAGTGTCAGTTTGCGCGTACATCATGATGGTGTTGATGATGATGATGGGCATGATGGCGAAATGCGCCCAGCCGGACTCGACGAGGGGAATTGGGGATTTGGGTATCGGGATGGACGTACGTTACCGACGGGGATGTCCTTCTCACCGGACTCCTTCAGGAGCTTGGCGATAACACCCTCCTCCTGGAACTCAAAGTCCATCTGGGCCTTGTCGGTCTCGATCTCAACCAGGACATCACCGGGGGCGATGCTGTCACCGGCCTTCTTCTGCCAAGATCCGATATTTCCCGCCGTCATGGTGGGCGACAGAGCGGGCATCTTGATGATGGTGTGCGGGGGTAAGAGGCGTAACATCTCAGGATCTGGGAAGAGAGGTTGGTGCGGAGGAGAGTGTTCTGACGAACAGTCCGTCTCAGGACTGAGGAGATCATGGTGAATAATTAGCTCTCGCGGGCGGCGCGAAAGCAGGGAGAAATTTGGCGATAGTTGGACGGCGGACCGGGCTCGGGGGAGGCGACGATTCAGGAAGATGATCCTTTTTCAGAGGAAGAAAGGACCGTCGACGTCGAACAATTGAAGCCTGCGGGCAATTGAATGACGGGATTGCACGAGACGAAGAGAGAGGGGGGAGAGGAAGAGGAAGAAAGACGACGCGGGATTATTCTGGGACGGCGAGGTTGATGCTCGAGATTGTCGGACGGGAATCTTTCCTTGGGGCTGGAGTTTTTTGCGTTGAGCTCCGTCGCTGGATGGAGCTTGGGGCGCTAGGCCGAAATGGGAGCTAGCGCGTCCCTACAAAATACGCCGCAGGGAGGGACGGCCGTTTGGCGCACGTTGGCTCACTGAAGAGCACTGGGCGAGGCCTGGGCACAGTCGTGACAGTGGACAACAGCGCCCTGAAAGTTTCGCCGATAATTGTGGCCGGTGCTTAACGCCAATGGGCCAGGGCCAACAGGGTCCGCGATCGCTTTGCTCGCTGGGCGGCCTTGATTAAGACCGAGACGCCTGAGGAACTTTTCGGACTTGAGATGGTGGAGTGGAAATAGCCCGGGAAAACAAGGGACCTTACGGAGTACTTCCATGCTGCAACAGAGGCCGTGTGTCCAATGAGAACAGACAATGTTGAGAGCAGTGCGGGTCTACAGTGATTGTGCTCCATTCATTGGGTCACTGGCCGCAGGTAAGCGCAGCTACACGTGACACTGAGGTTCAGAGTAATAGCACTTCAGATAAGGCTCGGATAAGAGACGCGACAATTGGAAAAGGAAAAAAAAAGAGACAAGTTCATGGAAAAGAACACGGATGCACTTTGCTTACCTCAGCTTCAAAGCCCCACTTCTGCCTGGTCTACCGATGGTCCGTGCCATATCTCCAATTGCTGACATAAGGCAATTAAACATGAAGAGGTGGCCGCTCCCTGGCGCACGCCTTGCTGAGTCCGCCACGTAAACCAGATGATCCCGTCGTCTTTCTGCGCTGCTGGAGTCCTCCTGGGAAAAAAAGAACGCTCCATGCAGCAGCTACATTAAATCGACCAGGGCCAACTCGGATTACAGTGCCGCCATTCACACATTACACAGTGTTCGAACGAAGCTCCAGAGTTTCCTCACGTTACGAACAGCTCTACACCAAAGGCTCACAGTGCAAACCATCAAGACCACCACATGAAAATCAGGTAGGTAGCTCCAAGTGCAGGTCCCATTCCCCAAGCTAAGCGTGGGACAGAGCCAGGGGTCCCTCCAGTCAAAGAAATTTGGACCGTCATTGCCATTTCCATCCTGCGGCCTATTACAGTATTACCTGTGCTGTCCAATTCGCGAGGACTGACAGACTACGGATACTGTACAGCATAGCGGTGTTGCTTCGTATTGCATTTCTTGAGAAGCTGGGGCGACTCCATCACCAAACTCGGAACCTGTCTCCATCAACGCCATCACCACCACGGTCAGCACTACGACCAACCACACTAGCACAATCCTCTTCTGCCATCACCCCCGAGCATCGATGTTGCCGTCTCCGAAGACGCCGGATACACCACCAAACTAATAGACATCAACCTGGGGCCCACCCCTTGCGTTGCCGTCCTCTCCACGTCGCCCTGCATATGCGCATGCGCCCCTCGATGCCCAGCCCAGCTTACCTACATACCTTGCCATTACCTTTGCTACAGCAAGACTTCTAGATCGGCGTCTCGACTATCTCTCGAAAACCTCTCCTGATCACGAACCGTCCCTCGACTCGCGAATGGCACTTGGTGTCTCCAGTGCTCCCCCATGAGCTCCCTCAAATTCCTCGTCTCCTCTCTGGAGGCCATTGCCGCTTCCAAAGAGGCCCAGAGGAACAAGCAGCTCACCGAATCCCTCCAAAAGACCCTCACTGCCATCAAGGAGAGCGATCCGAATTTCCCGGACCCCGAAATAGTCTTTGCCCCATTGCAGCTGGCAACGCGCACCGGAAATGTCCAACTAGTCACCGGCGCCCTCGATTGCATCGGAAAGCTCATATCATACTCCTACTTCAGCTTGCCGACCACAGCAGACGGCCAGCAAGATGCTCCCGCCGACAGAGCGCCCCTCATCGAGCGAGCCATCGATACCATTTGCGATTGCTTCCAGGGCGAGACCACCGGTGTCGAGGTCCAGCTCCAGATTGTCAAGTCGCTCTTGGCCGCTGTCTTGAACGACAAGATTGTTGTCCACGGCGCCGGTCTGCTCAAGGCCGTCCGCCAAGTCTATAATGTTTTCCTCCTGTCGAGGAGCACTGCGAACCAGCAAATGGCGCAGGGAACGCTCACGCAAATGGTTGGCACCGTCTTCGAGCGCGTAAAGACAAGATTGCACATGAAGGAGGCCCGAGTGAACCTCGAAAAGTTGAAACACAGCTCGAGCAATGTCACCTTTGAGCAGGGCGATTCCATCAATGGCACCACCATCGCAGAAGAAAAAGAAGAAGACGCAAACGGGGAGGAAGAGGAAGATTCTACCACAGCCCCTATTTCCGAAACCGAAAAGACCCCGGTCGAGAGCGAGGAGAATGGCAATGGGAAGCTCACACTCAAGGATTTGGAGCACCGCAAGAGCTTCGACGATTCACACTTGGGCGACGGCCCGACCATGGTGACAGAGATCAAGCCCGGAAGGAAAGCAGCCCGATCCGTATCCGAGCAGTCCACCCCCGAGTCGTCCCTTGAGGACAGCCCCGAAGCCCTGGACGCCGAAGACGAGGTGTACATCAAGGACGCCTACCTAGTCTTCCGGTCCTTTTGCAACCTTTCCACCAAAGTGCTGCCGCCCGACCAGCTCTACGACTTTCGCGGCCAGCCCATGCGCTCGAAGCTCATCTCGCTTCACCTTATTCACACCCTCCTCAACAATAACATTGCCGTCTTCACTTCTCCTCTATGTACCATTACGAACTCCAAGAGCAACGAGCCCACGACCTTTCTTCAAGCAGTCAAGTTCTATTTGTGTCTTAGCATAACGCGCAACGGTGCCAGCTCCGTCGACCGCGTTTTTGATGTCTGCTGCGAGATTTTTTGGTTGATGCTCAAGTATATGAGAGAGTCCTTCAAGGTTGGTGCTCAGATTCTATCTGTGCTTCTTGCCGTCGTGCTGACATGCTTCCAAGCTGGAAATCGCAGTATTCCTCAACGAAATCTATCTCGCCTTATTGGCACGGCGGACAGCTCCCATCTCTCAAAAGGTGTACGTCGTCAACATCTTGAACAGGTTTTGCGCGGATTCAAAGGCCCTGGTGGAGACATATCTCAACTACGACTGCGAGCGCAGCGTCGACAACATTTTCCAGACCATTATTGAGGATTTGTCCAAGTTTTCAACAGCGTCAGTTCCGGTAACGCCCGTTCAAGAACAGCAATACGAGGAACGAAGCGCAAAGAGCACGTCAGCAGGGGAATGGCAGCTAAGAGCCATCCTACCACCACCCCTTTCCGTCGCACAAATCACGCCCCACACCGAACCAGAGAATGAGATTCCCAAGGAATATGTCATGAAGCGGGTGGCTCTGGACGCCTTGGTGGATTCCTTGAGGTCAATGGTGGACTGGTCCGCCGCTGTGCGGCAAGACACCAATGGGGTGAGGCCAGATGGCGAAACGAGAACTTCCGAAGATGTACGTCCTTCAATCGATCCGAGCATGTACGATAATCAGTCTCGCTTCGAGACCCCTGCGCCCTCAACCCCCGTCATGGAGGACGATCCGGCGTCGCTTGAGAAGGCGAAGGCGAGGAAGACGGCCATGAACAACGCCATCAAGCAGTTCAACTTCAAACCCAAGAGGGGCATCAAGCTCCTGATCGAAAACGGCTTCATTCCGAGCGATAGCCCACAAGATATCGCCAAATTTTTGCTTACCGAGGAGCGCCTGGACAAGGCACAAATTGGCGAGTACCTTGGAGAAGGCGACCCCAAAAACATCGAGACCATGCACGCTTTCGTCGATGCCATGGATTTTACCAAGAAGAGATTTGTCGATGCGCTGCGGACATTCCTCCAGTCTTTCCGACTCCCCGGAGAGGCGCAAAAGATCGATCGTTACATGTTGAAGTTTGCCGAGCGCTATGTGATGGGCAACCCGAACGCATTTGCCAATGCTGACACGGCCTACGTTCTTGCCTACTCTGTCATCATGCTCAACACCGATTTGCACAGCAGCAAAATCGCCAAGCGCATGAGCAAGGAGGAATTCATCAAGAACAACCGCGGCATTAACGACAATGCTGACTTACCGGATGAGTACCTGCTGGCCATCTATGACGAGATTGCGAGCAACGAGATTGTTCTCAAGAGTGAACGTGAGGCAGCGGCTGCGGCTGGCACTGTCCCACCGCCATCGACTGGAATTGCTGCCGGACTGGGCCAAGCCCTGTCGAACATGGGCCGAGACCTTCAACGAGAAGCCTATCTACAACAGTCAGAAGAGATTGCGTTACGGTCAGAGCAGCTCTTCAAGACTCTATACAAGAACCAGAGACGAAACGCCCAGCGGTCTGGTGTCAGGTTCATTCCCGCTACTTCATTTCAACATATTGGTCCCATGTTCGACGTCACATGGATGTCGTACTTCTCGGCTTTGTCCAGTCAGATGCAGAAGACGCATAATCTTGAGATCAATAAGCTATGCCTTGAGGGAATGAAGCTTGCAACAAAGATTGCATGCGTTTTCGATCTCTCAACGCCCCGAGAGGCCTTTGTTTCCGCTCTCAAGAACACCACCAACCTGAATAACCCGCAGGAGATGATGACCAAGAATGTCGAGGCCCTCAAGGTCATCCTTGAGCTCGGACAGACCGAAGGCAACGTTTTGAGGTCATCATGGAAGGACGTCCTCATGTGCATCAGTCAACTTGATCGCTTACAGCTCATCACAGGCGGCGTGGACGAGAGCGTTGTCCCTGATGTGTCCAAGGCGCGTTTCATGCCTCCGCAGCGGGAGAACACCAGCGACTCTAGATCCTCCACGCAGTCCAAGAGGCGAGGCGGCCGCCCAAGGTCTGGCACCGGTCCACAGGGCTTCTCCAGCGAAATTGCTCTGGAGAGTCGATCCGACGAGGTGATCAAGGCAGTCGACAGGATATTCACCAACACGGGCAACCTCAACGGAGAGGCTATCGTCCACTTCGCAAAGGCTTTGACAGAAGTCAGTTGGGATGAGATCAAGGTGTCTGGTTCCAACGACTCGCCGCGAACGTACAGCCTGCAGAAGATTGTTGAGATTGCCTACTACAACATGACGCGTGTGCGTTTCGAATGGAGCAACATTTGGGACGTGTTTGGAGACCATTTCAACCGAGTGGGATGCCACAACAACATCACCATTGTCTTCTTTGCCTTGGACTCGCTTCGACAACTGTCAATGCGGTTTATGGAGCTTGAGGAGTTGGCTGGTTTCAAGTTCCAAAAAGACTTCCTCAAGCCCTTTGAACACGTTTTGGCAAACTCACAAAATATTGCCGTCAAGGACATGGTATTGCGTTGCTTGATCCAAATGATCCAAGCCAGAGGCGACAACATCCGCTCTGGATGGAGGACAATGTTTGGTGTCTTCACGGTAGCTGCCCGCGAGACAAACGAGAGCATTGTGAACCTTGCGTATGAGAACGTAACACAGGTCTACAAGACCAAGTTCGGCGTCGTCATCTCACAAGGTGCTTTCACCGACTTGATTGTCTGCTTGACCGAGTTCTCCAAGAACATGAAGTTCCAGAAGAAGAGTCTGCAGGCGCTTGAGAGCTTGAAGTCAATCATCCCCCGTATGCTCAAGACACCAGAGTGCCCGCTGTCTCAAAAGGGACAAAACGCCGCTGGGGAACACACAGCATCAGCAGCGGACACACTGCAGAGATCACAGAACCGTACGTCAGTGGAGGAAGGATACTGGTTCCCGGTTTTGTTTGCCTTCCACGACGTGCTGATGACGGGCGAGGACCTGGAGGTGCGATCGAACGCGCTCGAGTATTTCTTCGAGGCCCTCCTCAAGTACGGTGGTGAGTTCCCACCAGACTTTTGGGATATCCTCTGGCGGCAGCAGCTTTACCCCATTTTCATGGTGCTGCGGTCGCGACCGGATCTCAATAATGCACTCAACCACGAGGAGCTGTCTGTCTGGCTCTCCACAACCATGATTCAGGCACTCCGGAACATGATCACACTGTTCACGCACTACTTTGACGCATTGGAGTATATGCTGGACCGCTTCTTGGAGCTACTTGCCCTCTGTATCTGTCAAGAAAACGACACCATCTCTAGAATCGGCAGCAACTGTTTGCAGCAGCTTATCCTGAAGAACGTCACCAAGTTCACAACAGAGCACTGGGCCAAGATTGTGGGGGCGTTCTGTGAGCTGTTTGCACGCACAACTGCTCACCAGCTATTCTCCGCGACCACCATCAATTCAACAGCATCCATCGATATGCCGCCGAACGGATTGGAGTTTTCAGGCCCCCTTAGCCCTACCGAAGCATCAATGGAGGAGGACAACCTCAAGATCAACGGAACGGAAAAGAACGGCGAGAACTCTGACAGCAACTCAAGTGATGCAAACCTCGGAAGCATCAACGAGGATGACCTGAAGACGCCGACGGCTCCAGTCGCGCCTCAATCTCAACCCCCGCTAGAGGAGTTTAAACCAACGTCAAACCTGCAGCAGCAGCCAGTCGTGGTCACAGCGGCCCGTCGTCGTTACTTCAACAGAATCATCTCCAGATGTGTGCTGCAGCTTCTCATGATTGAGACGGTGAACGAGCTCTTCAGCAACGACACCGTGTACAACCAGATCCCGACATCGGAGCTCCTTCGCCTGATGGCACTGCTTAAGAGGTCGTATCTCTTTGCGAGAAAGTTCAACGCGGACAAGGAGCTCCGCATGCGACTGTGGCGCGAGGGATTCATGAAGCAAGCACCCAATCTGCTTAAGCAGGAGAGCGGCGCGGCCGCTACGTACGTCGCCATTCTCTTTCGCATGTATGCAGACGACAGCCACGAACGCACGGCGGCGCGCGATGCCATTGAGCAGGCGCTGGTGCCTCTCTGCAAGAGCATCATCAAGGACTTTGTCGGGCTCGAGGAGGATAGCCAGCACCGCAACATTGTCGCTTGGCGACCCGTGGTGGTTGATGTCCTCGAGGGCTACGCAGCCTTCCCCGTGGACGCCTTCCAGAAGCACATCAAGGAGTTTTACGTCATGGCTGTGGAGCTCCTCGGCAAGGACCTCACTTCGGACCTCAGAACGGCGCTCTTGCTCGTGTTGAGACGCGTGGGCGAGGTCGGTCTCGGGATTGAGGGGATGACCAAGGTGGAGGTGGATCGAAGGGACAGCATCATCAGCAGCGCCACGGAAAATACAGTCGACGGGCCGGAGGGTGATGCTTCTGCAAGAATGAGACGCTAGATGCTCACGGAGCACTTGTTTGGAAGGAAACATCAAAAATACGGCAGAGAGCACGCAAATGGGTGGCGTAATGGATAAACTGTAGGAGGGGATCATTTTCCGTGTAAAATTACTCGACCCGGCTCGGATCGTCGAGGCGGTGTTGTTCGCAGTTCCGTGTTCATATTTGAGATATTCTACTCACCGTCCCCCCCTTATCCTGGTGGGCTCGTGATCGACCAAAGTCGAATTATTATTAACAGAAGCTGTTTGATTCCGTGCTTGCTTGTCATTATGCCCGTTTTTTCCATGATCCTTAAACGCCTATTTTGCTTCTTACTTAAGTCTCGAGGTGTGCGACATGTGCCTCAAGCTAGTACGTCCCTGATGAATGTCCTCAGTGCCTCGGATTCCTCTGGCACAGTCCGATCAGGCAGACTACGAAGAGCATTCTTCAACAGATTATCATCTTTCGTCGCCTGCCTCACCAGATCCTTCAAGATACCCATCGTCCGGTGGGAGTGCTCCACCACGCGCATAACACTCAGCAACGTCTCGAAGAAGTCAATAAGGTTCAGGTGCATCAGCGTATCGCTCTTGTCCACCATGTGCAGCGCCGCGAGCTGCAGAAGCCCCGTCTCCGAAGATCCAGTCAGGTCCGGGAACTGCGAAATGCCTACCTCGACGATGTTGAGGGCCGCGAGGCGCGGGAGGATGCGGAGGATGCGGCCTTGTGCTATGGAGAGCTGACGCTCTGTGAGTGTGACTTGTTCGCCTTCTTGTGTGGGGGATGGATCGGTGCCTTTGGCGAGGGAGAGGACGAGGCCGAAGAGTTCTTTATCGTGGAAGATGCGGCGCCACATTCTTCCCTGGCCCGGCGCTCGCCTCTTGACGATTTCACTCGCAGTCAGGCTGGGGAGGTGACTCGGCGGCGGAAGTTCGCAGTCGACGTCGAGTAAATCGCCCAACACGCGGCCCGCGCGCTCGCCGACCTCGACTTGTGGTGCGGAGAGCCAGCGGCGGAGGAGCTCCTCGACTACGCGGGGCATGAGGGAGAGGATTGCTGCGTCGGAGGGGGAGGCGGAGGCTTTGGCGAGGATGGCGAGGGCGAGGAGGTTCGCGTGCGGGGAGGGGGAGCGGAGGGCTGCGAGGAGGGAGGATTCGTCTGCGAGCTGGAGGGTTTGGGTGAAGGGGACGGGGGCGAGGAGTTTTATTGTGAGGGAGACGATTTGTTTTGGGTCGTGGGGGGTTGTTTTGAGGATTGTTGTTAGAGGGGGGAGGAGGCGTGGGAGGAGGGGGGGCGTGTTTGTTTCTGTTGATGTGTTGTCAGTATCTTGAGATTGAATAGCAGTAGAACCAAACATCAGAGGATATAAAAACGGGAAGGCGATGGGGGAGGAAGTGGACTGACCGTTGAGTTGAAGCTCTACATCGTCGAGAAGCTTTGGTTCGAGTGGTGTGTCTGGGGAGGCGACGAGGTCGTCGAGGTGCTTTTCGAGCTCGGCGAGGCCGGATATGGGGATGGAATTGGCGGACATGTTGGGTACTATGCGTTCTGTCATCGATAGGTGGTTGTTGCTGCCGTTGTCGTGGATTTTCTTTGGTGGCAGAGCTGTGGTGGTGTTTGCGACAGAGTTGTGAAGCTCGGGAAGCTGTTGATGATGAACGAACTGCGTGTGTTGGAGATGGCGGGGGAAGGAGAGGGAAGCTCGGTTTAAGGGTCCCCGGACGCTAAGATAAGATAAGAGGGAGTGACAGGCTGCTGGGGGTTGCGTGGACCTAAGGTGCCTGTCAGGAAGCCATAAGTGACGAATGATGGTCTAGTAAGTATTGAATGTAATGTAATTGCTGATATCTTCACACTGCATACGTCGTTATATGCACATCCCGAGGAACACTCAGGAATATCAAGCCTCAAGTAGGTATTTAGTGAAGTACCTTAGGGACGGAGCCGAGATTCGGACGGCGCCGGGGTGACACCGGTGCCTGACAGCGCCGGTAAGCGGGGCACAGCGCGTCACCCACCGCCCTGCAGGGCACCACACCTCAGGTGCGGGATGGGACCCCGCTAGAAAAAATCCAAGGCTGTCGATGCACTGCAGCGCCGTCCTAAACCGAACTGCAGCTTGGGGGGTTTTTTTTTTCTCGGAGACAGAAAAAAGAGAGGCTGACTCCAACTATCACCAAACACCATACACATTCCCGCTGTGACGCATACTTTTCCTTCCACATTTCCGACCCAACAACCGCCCTCACAACTTCAATCGTAGACAAGAGTCTTCGTATACAATAGAGACAAGCTACAATGTCGCGCGGTGGCAGAGGAGGTGGCCGCGGCGGGCGCGGGGGTCGCCAAGGCCCCCAGCTATCATGGGACAACGGCGAACACGCACCCGACACACGACCTTCAGAGCTCTTTCCCGTACGTTCATACTCCATGATGTATTTCTCAATCCCGTGTGATGTATCACTAACTGCTGAATCACCAGGCCTACGCAATTCCGACAGCAAAACCCGTCACAGACCACGAACAGGCAAACGTCAACGCCTTCCTCCTCTTCCGCCGCCAATTCCAGGACGGACCCCTCTACACCCGCAAGCGCACCTGGGGCATGGACCCGACAAACACCCGCAAGTTCTACGGCCAGGAACAAGTCAACGCCAAGTACGGCGTGCGCACCCGCGCCACGGCCGACCCTTTTAACGCCGTACCGACCTACTCGCAGAAATTCACACGCCCGGAGCGCGCCCTCCCCGATTTCGGCGGACGGCCGTTTTGTAAAGAGTTTTTCCCGCTGGAGCTGCATGAGACGCTTGACGGGGACGATGTCGCGCCTGGGGAGAAGAGGAGGGGCGGGGAGGCGAAGAGGTTGCGGTTGAGTCGGATCACGGCGCTGCCTACGGCTGAAGAAATGTTTCATGTCAACGCGGAGGGTGATGAGGATGGGGAGATCGGGCCGGATGGGGCGAAGAAGAAGTTGGAGGCGCTGGAGAGGATGGGCGAGGCTGAGGGAGAGGGTGGGGAGGAGGAGTGGGAGGAGGGCGGCGAGGAGGAGCAGGATGTCGAGTATGATGATTCTGATGCGGGTGATTACGACGCGGAGAATTACTTTGACGACGGCGAGTTTGGCGAGGATGACGGCGGTGGGGATGATGAGCATGGTGGTCGGGAGGGATCGTACTGATCTCGGCTTGGGTATTACCTGCTGAGAGTGTACGGCGACGGCTACGGCTGTGGCGATGACGAAGACGGCGAACATGGCAAAGGCGGAGGGATTTGCTTAGAAACCTTTTTGCTACTACCTCAGACCAATTGTCACAGACTGACGAGACACGAGAGGCATCGACGGGCGTTTTTGGGCGGATGAACGGCTTTGCTGAGCGGATTACAGCTCCCTGATACCCCATCAATTACCTTATATCAAGGTTCAGACTACAAAATACAGACATTTTTTGCATTTCACGGCTTGCCATGAGCGGACATGAAGTTAAAACAGGGCTTTGTAGAAAGAGGCAAAAGACAAAAGCTCAAGTGCCCAGTTCGTGAATCGAACTGGGCACCCTACGAAACCCTCCATCTGAGAAGACTTCTCAGGATTTCATCACCAAGTTCTTTACTAACGGACCAGGGCGTTATACCGCTCGACCATGGGGATCGAGTTGGCTTGGTTGACGGATGCGGCGCTGGACCTGAATGTAAGGGTATTGGACTGTTGCGTATTCGTCTCGTATATTCCTGTGATGTACGGACCATGAGAACGAATCGCTTAGAGGCATCGGTCGACGGTGATTCATCCTCTTGGTCGAGCCTTGGTATTGAATCAGCCGGCGCGTCTGGACTATCGAATCGCCTCTCGCAGCCCTTACTTCTCATCGACCATGAAGCAGACCGTGTCCATCACATTCTAGGATCTCAATATCCAAGCATTACAACCTTACAACCCTCGTCCACGGCCACATTTGCCCGACGGCTATCGATGCTTCATTTCGCCAATGCTGCCGGTATATAATTCTTTTCCCCAACCTGAACGCCGTTTGCTTCCCTGGACCGTGGCCTCCCCTTGCAGACTATGTATCCACAAGACACTTCCATCTTGATTCTCCTCTCATTTAGTAGGGTATTGGCGCTGGAGCTGAGTGAGCTTCTCCCGTACGTCGACAATGCTCCCCGCCGCCTCGTAAATCTTGTCGCCCATCATCTTGATCGTCTCCAGCAGGTCGAGAACCATGTTGAAGGCCGGCACCTGGGTCTGGTCCCGCAGAGATCGTACGCGCTCGTAAAGACCGTGCTCGACGCCAGGCATGTGCTGCTCCATCTCCTTAATCTTCTGGACCTGGAACTGGCTGAGCTCCTTCAGGCGGTCGGCCTCGTTGGAGAAGAGGGTAAGCACGTCCTCGAGGTTGCGGTCCTGGTTGCCGTTGGTCGTGTTGCCACCCGATCCGCCGCGGGTAAGCCAGGTCTGGTGGTAGTGTGCGGGTAGCTTGAGCTGATCAGCGCCTGCGAACGCCATCTTGGCAATGTCCGCGTCGGACTTGACCAGGTCCTTGAGGTGTCCCAGGGTGACGATATCCTCGTCCAACGTCGTTTTAACGCCCTCGTACTTGCGCTGGAGCCAATTGACGTCGTTGGTGAGTTGTGCAAGGTCACCGCCGTGAGCGGCCATGAAGCCTCGGATTTCGGATGCGTGGGCCATGAAGCGCTGGATCATGAGATCGCAGTTCTCCATTTCGGACTGGATTGATTGTTCGAGGTCGTTGAATCGCGTCGTGCCCTTGATATTTGACATGTCCACTCGCACGCCAGGAACGCTTTGCTGCGTCGTCGACTGACCCATAGTTAAGCCGGGAGCAGAGCTACCTGCGGGCTGAGTTTGGCCGCTGCATGTCTTGTCAGTCACTGGCTACGCGCCTTCGAGGGAATGTCACTCACAAGAGACCACCGGGTTTCGGCTGGTTCTGAGCCTGGCTCTGTCCGAAAAGACCACCACCCGTGCCTTGGTTCTGCTGGGTTTGCTGTGCATTGTTGCCGCCGCCAAAGAGACCTCCCCCTGTTGACTGTTGCTGCTGCTGAGGCTGCGCTGTGCTCGCACCAAAGAGACCGCCCGTCGCCGGCTTCGCGGGGGTTGCACCAAAAAGCCCTCCGCTTTGCTGCTGCTGAGGCTGTTGTTGGGTGGTAGCTCCTCCAAACAACCCTCCCGTCTGCTGTGCAGGCTGCTGCTGCTGGGTCTGGGCCCCTCCAAAGAGACCGCCGCCGCTTTGCTGCTGCTGGGGTTGCTGTGTTGGTGCCGCTCCAAAGAGGCCGCCGGTCGCTGGTTGTTGTGGTGTTGAAGGCTTGTTGCCAAAGAGTCCTCCTGCCGTCGAAGTGCCGCCGAAAAGACCGCCCGTAGCAGGCTGTGTAGTCGCCGCTGTCGAGTTTCCAAAGAGTCCCCCGCCACCGCTAGGTGCAGAAGTTGTGGCAGTACTGGTGGTGCTAGAAAAGATTGACATTGTCGTTAGCTTTCACGAGTATACAATGAGCAGAATGTAGCAAGCTTCTCGACTCACCCTGCATTGGCGGCACCAGTATTGATGCTCAAGCCACCGGCTGATCGTCCAAACATCTTGAATTTTTGTTCGAGGGCGCCAATATTGGGTTGTTCAAGGGTGTTCTTATGAGGCGCGTGCGCGTCAGAACTCGAGATCGGGGAGTTGGAGAAAAAAGGTATCGGCTGGTGGTGGCCTCCCGTGGTTGAATTATTTGTTGCTCCTTGCCGCTGCTTCGCGATCTTCGATGGGGAAGAATTGGCTGCTGTTTTGGCGCTCGGGCCATGGGCAGCTTCGATAGCTCCAACAGCGAGCGTTGCCTCGTCCGCCTTGGTGGTAAAATGCGACGGCTCTTCATTGGCTAATCGGCATTCCCTTTTACCGTCTGCCGGGCGCGATTGTGGGTCATCGAGGTCCATCGTCTGTGGCTGGTGGCTGGCCGATGTGTATAGGTGTGGCACATACTGTGGCGCTTGCTGTGGCGCGTGCTGCTGCTTCCGGCCTGGGCGGCCCTTGCTGTGCTGTGTCCGCCGTGGCCCTCTTGGTGGTGGTCCTCTCGGCGCGCCAGAGCTTAGAGCTCCAGGCGCCAAACCATTGAATGCAAAGCAACCCGCAAAAGCTGCATCACCAACACCTGCACCTCTATTCCCACCTCTGCCCGTACCACCGCCATTCCCACCACCCTCTTGAAACATTGCCGAAGACACCGTAAGACGTAAACACAGCTAAAATGGACATCGATGAAGACGACGATTTCTACGCGGATGAGCCGTCCACCGAGCAGCCCACTACAAGCACAACAACAGCTGAAAATGCTGCTCCTCCTCCACAGGAGGCGTCGCCAAAAGTAGAGGCACCAGAGAGCAAATCAGAAGAGCTCGAGGAGGGCGAAGAGGAAGACGAGGGCGGCGCCATGGATGAAGACGAGGATGATTCTGTACATACCCTACCTACCTTGCACCATCGTTTTGTACTTGTGAATTGGCGACTGACTGTTCTGGCGCTTTCTCCAGGATATCGACATCATCACCGAGCGCAAAGATGGCACAAAGGCTGCACCCCCGACGTATGTCCCAACCTCTGTTCACCTACAAAGACACGAGGCTTTTTTGTGCCTTTGCTCACACAAACAACAGACAATCTCGCTACAGCGACATCAGAAACATCCCACAAAGGTCAGCCTCCAACGACATGGCTATCAAAGCAGCTCCCGTCAAGGAGGAGGATTCCGCAAGAGCCTCACCCTCCGACCTCCCTCTCGGTGTCCCCAGCGCCGACAAGGCTGCTGCCGCGGCTTCCAAGTCTACGATCGACGTCAACGCGAATCCCGATTACCCTCCCGTCGGCAAGCCCATCACCGCGGTCAATATTGACGAGGGTAAGAACGGCCACGCGCACCTGCTGAGGTGTCGTATCGCTAACACTCTCTGCAGACTTGACCGAGAACGAGAAGCCCTGGCGCAAACCCGGTACCGATATCAGCGACTACTTCAATTACGGCTTCGACGAGTTCACGTGGGCACTCTACGCCGCCAAGCAGGAAGCCGTTCGCGGAGAGTTTAGCGGCGACGCCATTGCCGCCGGCCAGAAGAAGATGATGGAGGACTTTGGCATGATGATGATGGGCGGAATGAACATGCCCGGCGGAGGTGCCGCGCCTGGCGCCAACGCGCAGGCTGGTGGCATGCCTGGAATGGGTGGCATGGAAGGTATGCCGCCCGAGATGCAGGCCATGATGCAGCAGATGATGGGTCAGGGCATGGACCCCAGCCAGATGGACCCCTCGCAAATGTCAGCCATGTTCAATGGCATGCAGGGCCAGGCTGGCAACGCTGGTCAAGGCGGACAGGGACAGAACTTCAACCAGGGCTTTGGCGGAAATCAAGGACAGTACGGAGGCTACGATCAGCAGGGCATGGGAGGCGGCAACCGCGGCGGATTCGGCAGAGGCCGTGGCGGACGCCGCCAGTGGTAGCCCCCCCCACTGCGTTCCGTGTATGTTTACAAAGATGTGCTGGTTATGAATGTCCAGCCCGGCCGGCGTTTTGGGAATTCGGTGGTGAGGTCACACATGGTTTGCTGAGGAAAGTTCCAAGAACAGGTCGCGGAACAGCAAAAGCAGGCATAGAGATACCCTGACAAGTCATCTGGCATTTCTCTCAAAACTCGTGCTTCTATCTGCATACAGTGAGGCGGTTTCTCTTCGCTTCTAATGAATTCCTTTTGGCCCATGAACAGCTCTGCTTCTAGTAAAGCCTGAGCAGCTCTCAACATTCTCATGAAGTCTTCCTAGTGCCATCACCTCAAAATACATCGGCAGTAATCTCCTTGCCGGTAGCGATGGCCAGCTCAGATCTGTTGACGTAGTGTCGGTTGGCGTAGTCGTCCGCGGCATCCAAGTTGATGCACGTGTGCGACGACACGATATCCACGTCAGCGCCGCCGCGGGTCTCATTGAAGGAGTAGGTGTTGAACGCGAGGTTGGCGTTGCAGAGGATGTACTGCTTCAAGAAGTCCGCGCAGTGGTCTATCGAGCTTTGTTAGCTGCGTCATTCTGATCACAGAAGTGGGAAATCTCGACGTACTGATGTGGGCGTGTTGCCACTTCGGGTCGTTCTTCATTTTCATATGGTCTTCTTTGTAGTAGTCGGGGTAGGTTTGCTTCCATATCAGGTGCTTGGTCCATCAGATATGTTCAACTAGTGTTGAGAAGTGGTTTTAGGTTACTTACAACGCAGTGCAAGGCGTGGACATATTCGAATACGGCGAGAGTGCCGTTGTGCGTAGGAGTAGAAGCTCTCAGCGGTTCCCTGGTCCTGAACTCGGACGTGGGAAAGTCTTCGTCGGGAATGAGCATGAAGTGGCCTAGAAAGTTGTGTAAGTTTCCCCGTGGAGTTATTGAGCAGAGGTCACGTACGCTCATCGATGAGCTTATCCCAAGCAGCGTCTAGCTCCGGAGACGGACCTGAGGTGTCGGCCTCCTTGAACATCGTCGGACCTCTGATCTCTTCAAGGTTTCCCACATCTGGAATATGTCAGCAATCTACATAAAGCAGTGATTGACTCTTTTTCTCACTTGTTCGTTGGTAGTGGGAGTGTTCGCTCTCGCGGAAATGATGGATACCGGTAGCGAAGAGAAGAGCCACGGAGATCAGGAAAAGAAGCACTTGAGACACGCTTGGTGAGCAAGACCAGCGACGCGGGCTCGGCTCCCTGTTCTGTTCCAGCTCTTCAATTTGGAGATGAGCGTAGGCGGCTTTCTCGTTTGGGCGGACGAGGCCGGCCAGACGGTCAAGACCGTTAGGTTGCATCGTGGAATGCGAGATCTTTGGCTTCGCTCAAGACACTCTGGTAAAAGAACTCAATGTGGGGGTTTTGTGCAGAAAGAGCAGGGCAGCAAGGAGATTTCAACTTGTTGAAGAAACCGGGCACTCGACCGTTGGTACGATGACATCCACTTTCCTACATGCATCTGTGAGGCCCTTTTAAACGAAGAACAAAGTCCGACGCGGCGGTTGAATCACCCTTGCCAATTCTTGATAACGGTCATGTTTGCTCATTCCCGTCGATCGTGACGACGAAGGAATATCTCGAAATGCACACTGCTATCTTCTTTGCGCCCTGCCTTGGAACTCCTTGGAAGCTATTCGTAAGCCATTATCCCAACCATTGCCCCTTGGCAGATCCCGCCATCGTCACCACCATGGGAAAAAGAGGCGGTAAACGCAGGCATCTTTCTGAATCCGACGACATTTCTGGCCTCGTCGAACACTTTTTAGGCTTGGTGTTATCCAGGGGGTAGTTCCTTCAGCAAATGTTTGTAAATTGTGATTGGCTTGTTGGAAGTGTTCGTCTGTTGGTTGTTGATTGATGATGACACACCTTGGTGTTAGACCCTTGCCCCGGCGTTCCGGTGCCGGCACTGAATGGGGTTGAAAGAGATAAGTAAGTGGGTTTTGTGATGTCCGTGCCGTTGAGCATGGAGGGGTTGAGCAAACATCGCGACGACAATACGGTCTATTGATATGTCCGGGGTCGAAGGTGTGAGGGGTGTCTAAAGCGACTCAACGCAGACGAGACGCGGACCCGGGGAGGAGTCCGCAGGCTTCGGAGGCTTCGGTAACACGGCCTCAAATATTGTCTTGGAGGCAGTTTGCTTCTCAAATGCCAATGATATGAATGCAGGTGGACGGTGTTGAGGTTGGTGTTTCCTACCCCCAGGTTTGGCGATGATAGCTGGTCGCAAGTGACAAGTGATAGACATGGGCAACTCGGCCAACACAACGAGAAAGAGTTACATAGACAGCGGCTATCGCTCTATTTTTTGTTATGAAGAGCAGATTGGTTCCTTCATATAGTCAATATACCCAATCCTTCTCCAAACGCGACTGCATGAGCTTCAACGGCATAATAGTGTCGCGCGAGTCTTCAACCTGATGAAATTCGCAACCCCGTCTCTTTCTCCCGGTCGAACCTAGTGCGCTTACTCAACATCAAGAATCATCCCAATGAACCGAGACTCGTCTAATGTGGGTGCTCAATTGCTGGCGGCAGAGGTAAATAACCTGGAACATGGTACACTCTGCAGCCGGTGTGAAAAGGCCATCACGGGGGAGAACTCTTCAGGCTTCTCGTACCTAAAGCTATTCTTGGTCTTTATCCTATGCCAAGTCCCCATCTTGGGGCTTAGCTTGTCTGCCTGCCATAACTACCAGTCGAACAATGCTGCTGCTACATCCAAAGGCATTGACCAGCAAGACTGTAAGGGGCTCTCACAGATACATCTAGTCAACTCTTCAACTTAAACTAACACTTAAATTCAAAGACTTCACTCTCGAGAGCTACAACTCCACCGAGAAACTCTACGATATTGTGGATGCAGCTGATAAATCACCGGAAGCAGACGCGTTCTGGCATGAGCTTCAGAAGAGTGCCCATTCCCTCCTGTCGTACTTGGCACGCTCATAGCTGATACCTTAAGCAACAGCTGATGGCATAGTCTCGGTTACTAGCGAATGGGCGAAGGAAAATGCTCTACCTCAGACGGTCTCTCACCCTGATGATCCAGTTTCCAAGATATATCAAATCAACGTCTTCCACGCGCTCCATTGCTTAGTACGCCAAAAGGTCCAGAATCTCCGATTGCTTGATACTGACAAAAGCAGTATCGCATCAGGAACAGGCTCACATCAAACATACCCCTCGAGAAATGGCCACGCAACGACATCCACACGATGCACTGCGTAGACCACATCCGGAACGATTTGATGTGCCACGCCGACATCTCGCTCTCGGGGTCCGGGGAGTACGTCTCGTTCAACTCGCACAGTCACCATCAGAAGTGCAGAGACTTGGGCGCGCTTCAGAGGTGGGCTAAGCGGCATAGCTGGGCTGGCTACAAGGAGTATTTGGAAGGCGTGGTGGGATATGATTTCAACGAGGCCGAGCGTGTGAACATGGCTACGGCTGGGAAGGGGCACTGGAATAAGGCGCAAAGTACGCTTGATAAGGAGACTGAGAAGATTGAGCTTTGGTTTGAAGAGGACTCATAAGTAAATAAGTAGGACAAGCAGGATGTTCAGTTTCTATATGTTCGATGGCCTTGAAAATCCTTGTACTGCAGTTAGTCACTTCGATGAAGGTCTAAATGGTAGCTTTGGGTAATGTTTTGAGTTCAAGGGAAATAATGATTGACTAGGCTTTGTGTCCCAAAGATCTTGGAGCCGTGGCAATGCGGAAACTCGCCGGTAGCAAACCTGAACGTAACCTTTGAGTTAAACCGATGAGCCTGCAAGAACTGCCACCATTCTCCTGCCAAGAAAAAGAAGCCAGGCTCCAGTCTGAACATGTAGAGAGAGAGATCAAAGAAATCCTTGGCTAGCAAACTTATCGGACACACAAAGTTGATATCAAAATGTCATCTTCTCAGTGTCAGAATATGAACACATGAATACAGTTGAAAAATTATGTCCATGAGGTCAAACAATTCCGGGGACCTTTAAAAGAGACCTTAGGATCAAGACGACTTCAAAAATTCAACTAATTTGTTCTACGGAAACAATGCCATTGTTATTTGTTGTTTCTGCTAAGCGTATTAACAAATTCTCTGCCCTCGCTTATCCAACATCTTATACTATGTGTTCTGTAAGTGGGAATGTAGCCTGTCATAAGCTGATCGCTGACTGACTGCCATGACTTCATGAACTAAGTTTTAGTTAGATTCCGCCGAAGTCATAACAAACGAAATGTTCGGAACACGGCCGTACCTTGCTTGTGGATCAGAAGCATTCAACGCAAGCAGTCGACGCGTCTGTCGTAGCTTCTTCAACAGGGCCCTCGTCGCCAAATGTGGCAATGGATGGGCTCGCATAGATGAATCTGGGTTCAAGGTCAGCCTTGGGCTGAACTGGAGCGGCGAGAACAGATGCCATGATGGCAGCGAGAGAGAGGAAGACTATATTGAAGAGCATTTTGAGGCTGCTGATTCAGGATATGAGGCTTGCTGTTGATAGTGCCCAGATGAAGGATTCGCTGAGTGTATCCCTCGACGAGGGAGAGCCATGCCTCTTTTAAGCTTTGAACCGATAGACTCGGACAATGTTATCGAATACCATCAAAAAGTCAAGGAGTCTTTCGAAAGGCATAGTGCGGCACGAAACTCATCCTTCCTCCGCCGGAAAAAACACCAACAGCAACGTCAGTTTTGGGGAGTTGGGGTCCAAGGTGATAAGTGCCAATGTGACATATGTGATATCTGTTGTTTCCCAAGCAAACCGCATGGTATCGACTGGGCGGCCTTTGTTCTGCAAGATCCATGTCCAGTCACATGGTGTTGGATCGGACTATGGACATGTTTAGCGCCCGTCCTTCTCCGCCTGACACCAAAACCACGTGTTCATCCAACGGCCTTACCCACCAACGAGTAAAGGACAAGGATAAGTTGGACAAATGGTACCTAATATAAATGTGTTCACTCGTTGGCTCGGTAGTTCCAATTTGTGTGCGGGCGTTTCCTTTAGGGGGGCGGGCGAGTGGCCCTGTTCAAATTGGGGGCGACGAGGAGGGACACCAACAACTACGTTACCCAACATGCATACCGTCACCGCCATCAACAGTTGCGAAGCTTAGGTTCACCTCGAATGCGGAAAAGTACTTCCTAGAATTAGCAACAACTAGGGGAGACTTTTCGGTACATTTGATTAGAAACTTCACCTACCAACGTCGTGGCTGCCTTTGACCAGTCAAACCCATGTTTGGTTGTGCCGAGAAGATGGCTTTACTCTCGAGAAAGAAGCAATCCAACGCCGCTGAATTTCAAGACAAACATGATATTTGATAGTTGATATCTTGGAGGATTACGAAGAGAAGCGCCAACACGGGAAAGGAAGGTGGCAGAATGTCCCGATCGCAACTTCCCCGTGCCTGCCTCATGACCTCGATCTTAACCTCTCGTTCGGGATCTTTCCTCCTGTCACCTTGATTTAATACTCTTTAGCCTTTGAAGACATTCACAAAAGTTACCTTTCAGGAGCATCACAGAAAGATTCGTTGAACACCGAAACCGCAGTCGCCAAGGCATTACTCATCGATTTGGCAGACTCGTCATGACGAATTCCCAAGGTGACCCCGAGGCTGACGTCCTTCTCAGGAAGAAATACAGTCAACGTGAAATCAACTCTTCGGTGGGCCGACGTCGATGCCACATTTCAAGTTTTTTTTGCTGGTCCGCTTTGATCATCCTTCTACTGTTCGCACTCGGCGCTTTCAGCCACGAATACTCTTTGTTGAGCATCGAATCCTCTCCACACGCTGCTCCAAAACACACCTGCGGCTCTACGGTCCCTGAAGCAAAGGCGAACGGCTGCGTTTTTGACGTCATGGCATACGGCTGGGTTCCATCTCAGTGCTATAATGGCGACCTCGTCAGCACGTACAATGCATACAACATGAGCCCTTGGGCATTCGACAAGAACCTCACCAAGCCAGCGTCTGAACAAGTGCTTATGGCTGGGGAGAGGAGGATTCTCTACACGGATCTGCGATTCCACCAAGAGCACTGTTTCTACACATGGCATAACCTGCTCCACAGCGTCGAGCATCAACGGCCACTGATTCACAACTTATCGGCGTCCACCGAACATAGACACCACTGCAAGGGACTATTTTTGCACGGGGAAGCGCCAACGGGCCCTGTCGTGCCAGCATTCTTTCATTGTGTGGCCAAGAAAGAGCCGTTCATGCTTCGAGAACACATGTATGTGGAGAAGTGAGGTTATGGGCCGGAGAGTCTGTCCCATGACAACGGGTCTTCATGATGATTTGGACATCGAGTGGCTGAGGCTTGTATCAGAATGAACACAAGTCGCTTGTACGTCTTTCTACTGGTGTTGATATGGAAATCTACGCATTCTCCGTCTCGCGGTCAGCTGAGAGACGCGTCAGGAAGCTTGGTCTGATGATTTCTTCCTGTGTCGCAGGCTCACAACTCACCTCTGTATCTCAAAGGAAAAGCTTAGCTCTGCAGCCATGATTCCAAAGCTGCCACCAACAACTTAATTGCTTAGAAAACAAATATGACAGTGGAAAGCTTTACACAAACCATGTCTCCTCTCGGCAAGCTGCCTGTTGGGTTAATTGCCAAGATTCTCCGTCTTCCGTCCCTTGCCTGCTCACTACACGTCGCTTTTATCACTGACCACGTCTTTTTCCTGCACGCGAGATGTCTGCCGCCGAACATGAAGGATTCTCCAGGAAACATACGCAACGTATCCGAGATTTCTCCCGCCAGTCCGGAATCGTCAGTGCATCACTCGAGGAGAGTTCCTTGCCCGAGATCATATCCTTAAGAACATTTTACCGAGGAACTCCAAGCCTTACCGAAATTGTTCCAGATGAGAGTAAGCTTTTGCAATGGGCGCCTCTGGTTCCTGTATCGAGCTATGCCATGACATGTGTTGGTTAAATACGATATAGAAATGATCTTTGATGCTTTGTGTTGACTGTGCTGCCCGCCATAACTATATGTGGTGCCTACAGTTTCCAATTCTCGGCTACCTTCCGTGGGATCTGCTACACAATTGATTGCGCAGAGTGATTTTCCTTTCCAACATGACAAAGGCCTTTACCACGTAAAGAAGTTCTTCTCAAACATCAGGCAATCTTAGAGTGATAAGATGTTTTGGCAGGTGAGTTTCCAGGAGACAGGGGTAGTTGTTTGTTGACAACAGCGAGTGTGCTCCAACTATGTTGTTACAAATCACTCTACAATGCAGAAAATCCTCGTTCATAAAGTAGGCAAAATCTAGTAGTAGGAGGAGAATGGACTCTTTGACACCACTCAACACAAGATATCAATAGCCCGTCAGGGGCGAAGATATCTATATGAGGTCCCCTTTCCCCCCGAACTCCGACGCTTTCCCAACACGGCATGAGAACAATAAGCCAGCTATCATGTAGTGAGATCATTTGACATAAGGCTTGATGCCTTCATGCTACAAGTTTCGCTGAATACTTCTTTTTTGTCGTTTATCTTATAATGCGCAAGATGGCGGTCCACACGAGGGGCAAGTGCGGCTCTTTCACCGGGCAGCCAGCCTCTCGTGGAGGCTGAAGGTCCTTCTCATGGCCACTAGCTATAGCAGCTCTCATCGGCAAACCTCTATCACCTGGAACGCTCACAACTATCTTCAGCTTCTGTTTATCCCCTCCAGACTCGCCGGCGAGGGTAGGCCAACCGTCTTCAATTTCTTGTCCAAGAGTAGTTGAGCTTCACATTTATTCATCAATATATTCAAGGATGTTGTTTGTGGTAGTCCACCACCTGACAGAGCTCGAGCCAAGGCGAAGGTAGGCTAGACCCACAATGGCCAGGCCCTAGTAGAGTACCGGACGAAGGTGAAGCTATTCCCAGCGATTCACTCGAAGCCGCCCTGGGGTGGTCTCCCTCTTCTGCCGGCCCTTAAATTGAGGACCTTACTGCGATAGGTTCTTCCTTCCCCATCTCTCTCTACCTCCACGCCGAAGACATTCACGATCGCGACATTTCCGCAATCTTGGTCCTCTTTCGCCGCCCCTATTCACGTTGAACGTCTTTCAGTATCCGTTCTCCTATCATTTCCCCCGGCCCGCACATTAGCCACAATGGCCAACTTCGACGTGTCTGACTTGGAAGTATTGGATCCCAACTTCGCAGACTTCAGCTCGTTGAACTTCGACTTGCCAAACTTCGGCATACCTACCGACGAGTATGCGCTGGACGCATACCAATGGCCTGGCGAAGAGAACCTCATGGCCGACTTCATGTCCTCGGCGGCACCTCCTATGGGCGAGGAGTCGCCATTCCAGGCTGATCTCGACATTATTGATAATGTGATGGTGCCTTCCGCTGAAAAACAGTTGGTATTTGACGTCCTTCTTAGTAAGTCGGTCTTGAAGATACTTGGCGGTGTTCACGCAATGTAGCTTGAAGACTGACTGGACGCTTGCAGACGACGTCATTCCTTACCGCTATCACGACCATTTCAGGCTCTTCCCCGACATCGAGTTTTATAGATCTCTCTTGTACAACAGATCTAATCGCGACGAGATTTGGGGACTTGTCCAGCGGTTCCATGAATGGATCTCGAGTGTCGCAGCGTCCTCCCCAGCCGAAGCAGACGAGGCGATTGCGGCCTTGAAACATCGTGCGGCATTTCACGGCTGGCTGAGATCGCAAGAGATTCCATCAGATGCTGCGACTGAGCCCGTACATGATCCTTCTGAGCAGCAGCAGAGACAATTTGGACCTGAATCGATCCCTTCGATGTCCCCGTCAACCGACACGCCGGTACAGCAGCGCGAAATGGCTCGGTCTCGGTCACTCTCGCTGTACGAACACGAGCATCCTTTGCTCCAGGCGGAATTATTCGTTGCCCCGGCATTTGAATTCAAAGGTCTTATCCAGAGCATGGACCACTTCGCGGAGGTCGACAATGCCTATGAGAGGCACGTGAAGCGCGCAGCTGGCGCCCCCCCCGAAGACGATCCGTCTTGGCCGGTTTCTTCAGAAAAGCAGCGCGAATATGTTCAGCGGCTGTTTGAAAACATCACTGACCTAAGTGATTTCTTTGAGCTGCGAAAAGCTCGTGAGCGTCTCGGCAACATTGCCAACGCTCAAAAGAACCCGGCGACACCTGAAGATGAAGGAAATCCGAGGAAGCGTCGAATCGGCCGCAGCAGTCAAAATGTCGATATCGTTCCGACCAGACCAAAGGGGATCAGTAAGACAGACTGGGCTTTGGTGGATGCTGAGAGATCTCCTACAGATCTTTTGGATGCCGTCATCCATCACCGGATCTCTGGCGTTGAGGTTGAGCTTCTGTGCTGGAGGCTTCTGGTGTGTTAAACCTCTACGTGTGCACTCAATATTGTTTCTTGAGCTAACATGATACTAGCGTTCTGCAATGGAACAGCAGCTAGGCTTTACAATGCGCCCTCTCTGGTCCGGTACAAGAACCGTGTCTACGTGGGAACACTTCGACACTTTTTCTGCCAGGTGGAACTCAATCTGCAGCAATCTCCAGGTATTTACAGCTTGCTTTATCGGTGTTGGAACTTAACGTACTGACTACCTCACAGGATTGTAAAATGATCCTACACTCTCTTACACGTGCGGACTGGTTCTGCAAGTACGCTGGTGCGCCATCCAAAGAAAGAGGGGGGGTTCTCAAAATCCTTAGATATTAAAAGAAAATCTAATCAATTTACAGGCAAAACTGAGTAATGACCTCTTGAATGGTCGAAGGGACATCCAGAACCAGGTCGGCCGAGAAATGATCAAAGAGAAGACTTCTACGCAAGACTGGATCACAACGGATGATTTCGAGATCAGAGACAAGGCTGGAGACCTTGTCTTGAAGGGAGGTCACCTTGGTGATAAAAAGCGCCGCCAGCTTGCTCTGAGAAGCAGTGAAGGGGATGTATGACGAGATGAACAAAGGGTATTATGACCAAAGTTCGATGTTCATAGGATTTCTTGATGGATCACTGTTCAGCGGCCTGATAGCGGGCGGCTGCAGAGAGATTGAAAAAGTTATTCATTGCAGAGGACGCATTCCTTCATGTTTGCCCTAGAAGTCTGGTAGAGCCAGGTTAATATTTACCATCTTGATTGAAGTCAGACGACAACCGCTAACACTTACCCCTAATGCTCTATGTTCCGCAAAAGAAGCAACTCATAGTGTCTCGTCAGCCGGAAATTGCCTCGGTTGGCTGTGGGCTATCTGCTTGTTGCATCTACCGATTGCTGTGAAACATTGTTGTTCGGCGTATATATCACAATTACAGGGTTGCAGATAAAGAGTACTTACTCTATTGGAGTCCACGGCTACGTTGCAGCCGTGCTGAACGAAGGGAACATCTGTAATTGACCCACTGGCCATGATGATTGTCTGACTTTTTACTTTACTTGTGTCGTACAAAAACGGAACCGTTATTGCCGGCCAGCAATTACGCCTTATTTACCACAACTTGGTAAGAACTACGTTTTGCATTGACCATTAGATGCCTGGGCGAGGTATCTCTTGAGGTACAGGCCCATCTTATCTTGATGATACCGATTTATGATGGTAAGAGCATCGGGGACAAAGTCATGATCCCTGGCATGGGATCATGGATAATAGTTTTGATGTAACACTCCTCGCCAATGCCTAGAAAGCTTTGACTTCGTGTATGATCTGACTAAGGCAAAGGGAGATAACAGAGTGAAGTTGGAGGAACTCGAAGACCTTCTGATTGTCGTAGAGGAGCCTATCAAGCTAAAAAAGGAGGCTAGCCGAGATTTGCAGCTTCCTACTTCAAGGATACCCTGGAATTAACACAATATAATGACTAAGTATCTGGGTGTGTCAGACGTAGCTAGGTCAGACTTTCAGAAGGTACGTAGCAAAACTACAACTTCTGTACTTCTTTCTGCGAGATGAAAGAAAATACCACCAGAGAAGAAGGGTGGATACAGTGAAGATGCCAGTGACAAGAAAGTAGATCCAAATATAGCTTGACACGACGGACGTTTGGGAGTCATTTGGAGACCAGTTGAAGAATGACATGGAGAATAATGTCTGTTTATGATTAGCTCATATTCTGATATGTTAATGACAGTGAGGTCTGGACTTACTGCGAAGAATGTGCCCGGAAGAAACACCATTGTTACCATAGCAATGGAGCGCATTTGCCTCGAATCCCGACCGGTAGCTGTTGCAATGTCCATATTGGTGTCTCCTTGAGCCTGAGTGAAGATAGAGTTAGTCAATCTTAAGCGGACTAAAAAGGTGACCCGGCCAAAGATCAGATTTGAACTTACCCATTGTGTAGCAATCGTCATTCCCTCAACGCTCATTGTGCATTCTTGAATCCTATCCTCAAAGTCCTCAATGAGAGCGTGAATCCTATCGTATACCATCAACCCTGTCCGATCCAACATTATGTTGGTCATTTTATGCTCTTCCTCGTTCCTGGGCTGTCCGTGAACTCCATCAATTAGCTGCCCCCTGTGAATACTGGATAGTTCATCAACATGGTCTGCCATCTTTCGAAGTTGACCCTTCCATGCTCTTAGGCTGTTCCGAAGGAATGTTGTATTCAGCCAAGCAGACCTTCGAGAATGTCGCATATCAATCTTATCCTCTTCTAGAAGCTCTTCGCCTTCGATCGGGTTTCCGGTGCCAAGCTCGAAAATTGCTCCTTCGATGGCATCAACAGTTTCTGTGACGACTTTCGCCATTCGATCTCTTTCCAGTTCCGCAAATATACCTGGTAAGAGCAGAGGGAAGAATACGTGGTCCGTTGCGCGACGTAATCGGCTGATTACGTTGCGTTCAACCTCAGCAGTACACCCAAACAGTACAGCATAGGTCAAGTTGCTCTGGGGAAAGTGAGTGGCTGTCAGAGCCATGTCGTCCGCCCATGTATTAGATGATCTGCATTGATATACTGTAATTGAGTTTAATAATGCAGCTGTTTAGCTACGGGTAGGGCGCATACCTATAGCAGTTTGGCCAGTTGCATCTGAATCTCCCAGCCTCATAGTAACAAAAGATCTTGAAAACACAGGAACGTCTGCCCGGTTGATGACTCGCGCTATCGAAGAGTGTATGAAGAATCTGTCACAAATGTCTCTAAAAGTATTCTGATCAAAAGGCAGATGGCGAACCTCCCTCTTTCCACCTGTCGGGATCTCTGATGTGCCGGCCTGGCACTCGATAGCTGCGAAAGTGTGGCTTGACCACGTTCCATTGCTAATCGAGCTGACAGACCCAGATTTCTCGTCAAAAGATCCAGGCGCTGATCTCAAAGATTGCGCATTAGGGGAGCTTCCTCCATCTTCAGGTTTTATGGAAGGAACATATGGCCTTCTGGCAATTCTTTGCAGATAACACTATCAGTCAGTTGCTTTCAAAGGAGTTTAATTTTCATACATGACTACGAGACCAGAGTCTTTGTGAAGTGATGGAGTGTCCTGGAATCAGTCATGAATTATTAACAGGCTATCGACTGAGAAAGTAGAAGGTGAAAGCTTACGTTCTCGAGCCATGATCGCCATTCTGCTGGGGTCCTGATCGACCGCATGCAGACTTCTGTACCCTATCTGAATGGTTAGCTTCTATTTCTTCGAAAAGGGGTGAAAACAACACGAACGCATTGATTGGGTAGAATCTTGACTACCCTCGTCTCCTGTGGCTGATATCGAAAAACTTTTTGGAGGTCGGCTTCGTTCAAGCTACCATCGTCCGATGCCCAATCCATGATCGAAATGGATGAGAGATGCGGGAGCGTCAGGTTGCATCCGGTATTCAGCTGTGTAGAAAGATTCGGGAGGAGTGAGATCTTGCGCCCTATTTGCAGCTTATTACTCAGTATGCGTAAGTGGGATGATTTGTCAAGCATTCTGCCATGCCTACGTGTACCTCAAAGGTGGCACTGCAACATAAATACCACCACACCGCATTCCTGCAGTAGCGCCACGAACTTTCTGCATGTCGCCGTGTAGCACGAGTCTCCCGATGGTCGAATCAGGCAGTTCACTAAGGGCTGATCGCCTTGCTTTTTCCCAACTGCATCCGTGCCGTCGGTGAGACTATTGGAAATGATATGTGACCCGAACCGTGGTTCGCCACGGCTTTCCTGACTTGATGAACTCGCCCTCCAAAGTCATCCGTGTCTCAAGATTGCAGGCTCGAAAACCTGTGATCCCGCCCACCCGCACAAGCCCTATGTTGGCCATGGGGTCAGCACAGCCCACATGCGAAAACATCGCGGCCAAGGTAAATGCACCTATTCATCTGACCACACATCGATGTCATAACGAGGCAATCCCGCCTCATCACTCAATTTTCTTGATAGATAGCAAATAAGAAGTGCTTCTGCGTGTTAGAAGGTCCTTGAAAGACCTAATGTACTTTGTGCATGATGTACTGTTCTGAAGGGTCTGGTGATGTGCGTCTGCGTACGTGGTCACTCTGCGGCAGCTTTCCGTAACGTAGATCGCATTTCCGAGGCAAACCCTGACTTGGGCTTTCTACGAGGCTCCCCTACGACTGCGGGAGCTAATTGATGCATGTTATACCAGCGCATTCGAGTGAGCTATATCCACTGATGCCACCGCGTCAATTGACTCCTCTCCCATTTTGTATTCACAGGTCCCGAGAAACCAGCCGGATCGAACAGAATCGAAAACAAGATCGCACACCTCCACTCATCGATTATGGCCACTGAGGTCTTCCAGGGCAGATATACCGACGAAGCGGTGATCACCCAGCACCTACGACTTATCTTTCCACGCCAAAAGTTTCGGATATCTGTGAGTAACTCATCCCGCCAAGTTATTTCATGGAGTTACGCGGGCTGACAACAGGCTTTTTGACAATAGTCCGAACGTGGGAGATTCTTTTGTACCATCCCAAGAAAGTTGAAACCGGTCAGACTGACGAGCTCACCCATCCATCATTCGGTATCTTATCTGATATTCATGCAGGTTGAACGCGAGATAGTTTTGAGAGCGATTCAAGAAGATCACTATGCTTAAGAACATGGGTTAAGGATACTCTGTCAATGCAATACCGCGTATTTCCATTCGGAAGAGAATGAAGGAAGCAGCTCCGTCTTTGAGGAACAATAGAACTCGTTTTTGCCATGTAGTTATATTCGTGAATCACGCTTTTCCGAATGTCTACGTTGTAATTTACCTAGCAGCAGCTGACCGTGTTGGACCTTCGTAGTCCATGATGATCGCATCGAAATGTCTGATATCTATAGCTGCGATATGCCTCTTCGCCACTTTGTTGAGACGAGCCTCGACGGGCCAAGGTCGTTCGATGGTCGCCATTGATGAAACTGGCGGTGCACAGTAATATTCTCTACGAAAGCAATTTCCTTGCAAAACCACTAACTCCCGGCACAAGTCCGATGATGCGATTCTTTTCTGATCCATAGATTGAACAATCAACATCCTGGTTTGGACGAGACTCAGCAGGTCACTGATGAATTGTGAGCACCGCTTGTGCCTCCGTAGTCTGTCGAATTCCTGCATCATTCATCAGCAATGTCACCTGGAGAACATTACGTTGAATACGAACATCTGTCACGCTTTTTTTGATGTTGAAAGCGTAATTATCATCAGAAACCCGAACAATGTTGAAGTAGATGGGCGTGTCGTGGCTGTTGATGTATGGTGACATGCGCTTTTGCTTGAAGCTTTCGTATCCTTCCCAGCCGTCAAGAAACCATACCATGAACTCGAGGATAAGGCATCCAAGAGTCCAAATATCGAAAGACCTCGATATACGACCTTCCGTCCCTTCAATATCACACTCAGGTGGTCTATAGTTAGGAGACACGGGTATTTCTGCGCCTGGTCGGTTGGAACGACTCTCTTGTCTGTGTGTCCGTGTAAGCCCGAGATCGGAGAGAACAAGGTTACCAAGGCCTCTAGATTTGAACCACAAGACGTTCTCCGGCTTGATATCTCCATGTCTCCCATATAGACGATTTCCCTTGGCGTCCAGGTGATCCATGTCGTTGGGGTCATGAATGTAGCTCAGAGCATCAGCAATGCCACAGATCTGGTCTACCGTCCAGAGATAAAGTTGGTAGTCTCTTTGTATGTATGTGTTTCTTCTCCAGAACTCCAGTAGATCACACTCAGCCCATGGAAAAAGGAGAAGATACTCAATGCCACCACTACTGTGGCGTGTGAATGTGGCGAGGAGCGTGACAATGTGGGGGTGCCTGCCTCCGAAGCGCTTCAGGTGCTTAACCTCTTGTTCAAACTCTTCCTTATTCGGAATGTAAAGCTTTTTGAGAGCAAAACAGCCCGGAGCGGCGGAGATCTTGATTACGTTAGTTTGGATACAAAAGGGTCAAATGGCCCGATTTTGATGGACCTCACCTCATGCAGAGTCCGGTGGAAGTTATGTTGCCAGCCATGAATGACAATTTGCTTCACTTCTCCAAATCCACCACTCAAACTCATCGATGTGGATTCGTCGGCACCAATAGGTGCAGTAATTGAAACCGGTTGGGATATCATGACCCACGGAAGTACGTGGGCCGCATCGAAGTTGTAATGGGAGACCTCTCCCTTGTATGGAGATTTTGCAATGAACTGGACAAACAGCCTGCACTGCAGACTGTAAAAGTTGTCCACGAGAAGGGGCGTCCATCTGCCAAACGGGCGATGTGATTGCCTAGACCTCTGCCCCTGATATGCTTTGATCTGATCGAGTCGAAGAGGCAGACAGCTGTCGTCCAATCTCTCATTGATGAAGCTCTGGATGCATGAGGCCTTTTGCATGAGAACTAAGATCGCAAAAACCAGACGATACCTCGTAGTGCGCCCACCGATCCCGAAGATCCTATTGGTCCACTCTTGACAGATGCTGTCAAGAGACCCCGCATTGTGCGCTGCAGGGAGGGCATTCCGCCTGTAGAGGTGCACAACAACGCTGAGCACTGCTTCTCTATCGAACAAGTGCTCGATAAGTTTCGATGGCCAGAACACAGGGTCACTATGTAAGGCGAAGGGCGGTCTGATGGCGTTGTCCCAAAGCCTTGCTTCAATGTGTTCCTGAGCATCGTCGATGTCTGATGTGTTACTTTCCAAACGTGGCAGCACAGGAGTGATCCAGGATGTGACGGCTGAGTCAGTCGCACGCAAATCGTCAACTCCGTACTGTGGACCGTCGTTGATCTGAATAGATGGCGTGGCTCCGCCAGGAATACCATTTTGGTTGGCCATGTCGAATGAGAGATAATGTGGCCTTCTCAAGAGAAACTTGGACCTGGGAAGTCGCGAGCTAAAGAAAAGGGTTGCTGGGGGTTTGAAGTTCTTGCCGTCAACGAGTGTGGGAGCGACAACTAATAATGACATGAATTTCGCTCACATGAACTTCATCGGGAGATGCTCCCAAAGACGCCGACTACATGTAGTATCAAGCCCGGAACTTTCAACACACCCTCTTCCATGCGGCTTACATTGCTGCTCTCATTGTTACTGTTGCCTTGCAAAATCTTGCGAAGTGATTGTAACCAGTACGAATCCGACATTCTAGTAGCTGTGAAGCAGGCTCCGACCTCTTTGCCTTGTCGCCTGGCCATTAAGCCACGATTACCTGCTATTGGTTCGCATATCGGGTGTTGTACCATGTTTCTAGGGATATCCATACATGTAGAGGTAATTACCGCCTTGATCAGGCGAGCAATCAGAGAAACGTGATTTATCTTTAGGGCTTTCGGCCAGATAGAGAACTTGTCTCCGCATCCTTGGTCGATTTCTGTCGTCAGCAGCTGAAAATGACCGTGTCACGCGTCACTCTCATCTCGGGAGAAAAACACGAATCACACTCAGGATTTTACGGCTAACTCTCTCGCTGCCATAGCTATGGACTGGCCACGAAATTCAAATTCTTCAACACATAACAAGGAAATACTGCGATTCTTCTTCTTAGCAAGTGATACTTTGAAATAGCACTTTGATTTCCATCCAAGTTACCGACAGGCAGCTTAGTCATTTAGTCATAGGCAAACCTTCCCGTTCAAGGAATCCCTCACGTCAGGGCGAGCCTTTTCCCTCTTTTCATCAGCAAACGCGAGAACGACAGCAGGGCCCACGAAATACACTCACAAGATCCAGCGGAACGGTTGAATCCGCTGCTCTTATGCAGTACACATTTTGCCTTGTCTTCACATTCTATCAGTCAAACGCTCCTGTAGGACGGGCAAGGGTTTAGAGGCCAAGCTAGATTTTGAAGTGCTTGAGCTAGGGACGTACTTCAACAGAGAACTTCCCCGGCCCATAAAGGCTTGTGAGAATACTGGATAACCCTTGCGGGCTTTTGACAACTTTACAATGTATGTACTGCCATTCACCGTTGCAATTTGAAGAGTTAGAGACTGAAGGCATGGCCATGATGGCCCTGATCCGGCAGTACTTTTGCAAATTTCCTGGCCACAACGAGAACGAGGATTCAAAGAACGATGTGTAGAATATAAAGAAATAAATGACCCCGAAGTTTCTGTGACGTAATGTATTAAAATTTCTTGATGGAAATGATAGACAAGAGGCTGAAGCTGTTGGAGGGATAGCGAGATGGTAGCAGAATCTTTCGCCTCCTTTTATATTATCCTCCTGACTTATAACACAACCTATCAAGAAGACCATTTCGTCGGAGTTCTGCCAGCGGACGGCGCAGTGGAATTAAGAGGTTGCCTGCCCAAATTTGGCTGCGTTCCAAGGGGACATTGAGCGGCAGGCTGAGGGTTTACTCAGCCAACCACAGGTCCACAACTGCCGTTGGCATCACCCACCGTTCTCATTGACGCTACGGATCCTTGGAACTTTTTCTACTTCCATTTTTGCCTAACAGAGATTCATCTAAGACACACTATTGGTATTAAGCCCGCGTGGGTGCCTATGAATACTTGGCGCATCAATAGTCTGACTGCATGGGGGACAGACTTGGGGTCCAGTTCTCCCATTGTCTCTCCGCGCGCCGTATTTAACAGTCCATTAAGGCAGGCTCCGGTGAAGCTGGCTTTCCAGTTTTATTTGAAATGGCTGGAAGGGTGTCGGGAGGGTGGCGTCAGAGGCAGTGCCGTCCAAGCACCTAATCAGAAGACCAGACTCCCAGTGTCTTATCATCTCTGAGGCTATGTAAAATGTCCTCACCAGAGCTGGCTGACCTGAACCACGCTCATTTGATTAGACTAGGAGAACTGAATTGACCGTCCTTTTGATCGACCGTCGCACGAATAGTATATGAGCACCCTCCAGCTCTTTCTTCGCTCCAATTGACCAAGGGGAACACCGCTGATCAACTTTATTGGTACCCGATTTTCATGCTCCATCTATCAAAACATGAGTGTCACCTCCGACGACGATGATAACATTACTCTTGAACCCGGAATACATCCATCCACTGAGGTCAGTAAAAACCTTTCTGAATTATCAATCACTTGGTCTTTGCGCCTCGTTCGGACTGTTCTGTTCCTTTATTGCTCCCTTCAGCTAAATCATGTTTGACTTGTAGCGGCCTCGCCTAATTCTCTCTCCATGGAATGAAGACGCTAACTCGCCACTATCACTGAACGCTTTGATCGGCCATGGAAGGGATGGGCAAAGTCTCTCCCCCAATGATCTCAGAACGCCTTTTGAACACAAACATAATTCAGATGACGACGATATCAGTATTGCAACTCAAAATGATAGAGGTTATGCAGCTGCTGGAACAGTATTCGACGGTAGCACGATTGCATCATGTCAGGATCAAAGTGGACTCATAACAGCCGAGACGGATCTTCGCCAAATGGGTTCTCACTTACAGAACACAGAAACGCACTACATGAATGCATCTACTGTTACATCAATGGCACGCGATGTCTCCAAGTCACTGCAGTACTATGGCGGCAAATCTCAAGGAGCGCAGTGGCTGCCAGTCAATCAACTATTCAGGATTGTCACAAGAGATTCAGTTTTTCGGGCATTACGAGAGTGTCGCCCGAAGCTCGAGCTTTCGGAAACAAAGCTATGGAAATATGCAGAAGACATATGCCCTCGAAGTCGTCCTGATGGTTCATGTCTCATGGGAGCCCGGAGCATGTTTGCAATCCTCACAATCTTGGAGAGAGTGAATGAAATTATTCAATTCATCGATCTCAACCTCTCGGACTACAATCTACCTTTTGTCCCGGACGCAAATCAACCGAGTTTGGATGGTCAGCTATTCCCAAAGAACCCTCCTCCCGGTTTTGCAAATCAGATTTTTGGACGCCATTGGACGTTGCGAGATTGGGGTGCATTTGAGAGATATCAAAAAACGATGCGGTCTCCCTTCTTCGATATTGGCCCTAACGACAAGGAAAGAAATATTCACCACTACGAACTGGAGCCAGATACAGTGCTACCTTTCATCAAGGAGTTTCCAGCTACGTCGTCCGACATAACGTCTTACAGCAAAGTTCAGCGAGTACAAATCCATATGCATCATCATACCATGCACAAGGTAAGGCACATCACACATGCATGTTTGATCAACTGAAATCTAAGAATGAATTACAGGGAGTTCCAGACGAAAATCCGTTCTTCGCTGTCAAAGAACTACTCCCTGAACCTGATGATAAAATGGACACCAGCCGCGAAAAGAATTTCCGCGCGGAGGTGCGGGCTTTGGCGAAGACCGTTGGCCTATCGAGTCATGACCATGTCATTAAGCTACTCGCGACTTGGAGGAAAGGTGATAGCTGGAGTATGTTATTTCCATGGGCCATAAGCAACCTCAAAGACTACTGGAAGCGGGGAGAGCCAGAAAGATCGCCCGAATTTGTCAAATGGATATCCACGCAATGTCGAGGCCTTGCCGAGGGCTTGCAAAAGATCCATAAAAGCCCCTCGGACCACGCGGATCACGCACAAGAGTACGGTATCCATGGAGACATTAAGCCTGAAAACATCCTCCTATTCCATAGCGATTCAAATCCATTCGGAATAATGGTAATCAGCGACTTCGGCTATACTCGCTTTCATAGAAGAAATACTCGGTCAAACACCCCGGCAGCAGGCTACAGTCCAACGCACAGAGCACCAGAACTTGACCTTGAAAAGTTCATTTCCAGGTCCTACGACATGTGGACTTTTGGCTGTGTATTCCTAGAGTTCATTACTTGGTACCTTATGGGGCCGGAAGGTATTGGAGAATTTGTGGGTTGTCGGACGGCAGACGACACAGGTGCACCAATAGGTATTAAGGAGGATAAGTTCTTCATACCCAGCATTGAAGAGAACGGAGAGAAAGAGGCGACAGTGAAACCGTCAGTCAACGATGTAAGTCAAATTCACCCTTACATAAACGAAGACTAAGTTTTCTGCAATTCGCTGAGTGCTTCTTTACTTATAACTGGTAGTGGATAGACGGTTTGAGAAGACAGCCCTACTGTGGTGGCTACTTCAGAGACTTCCTGGATCTTATTGTCAAGGATCTCCTGCAACCCAAGCCAGGAAAAAGAGAAAGTTGCGCTAACATCGCGGGGCAACTTAGAGAACTAGAGCACAGGTGCAAGATCGAACCACCTGACATGGAGTACCTGATGGGTCAAGTCAGCGAATCTACAACTGCTCGTTCCCTGTCAAGAACGAAACAACACTCACAACAAAGTGACGCAGAAATGAATGCACGAGCATATTCTCCTTTACTAGGGTCACTTTGTGATGAGACTTGGGGTCCCAAAAGTGACCGCGGGTCTTTGAACTGTGCATCGTATGGAGAGATGGAAAATATTGCCGACATCTTTTCCAGAGATGGTCCTGCATACGAGACGGCACAAAAGGTCCATCGGTTAACTACCAGGAGTCTTCGCATGGAGCTCAAAGCTCAGTCGACTGAGCGAACACCACTCATAACAAAGATAGACTCCTGCTTGCCCGACGATACTAGACCAACACTGCCAGGGGCCCAACGTTTGGGAGAAGCCAGTGAGGGTGGCGCTTGCTTGAGAACTCGCGATAGGCCTTTCGAAGCGCAGGAAATGAGTCCACGTATCCGTGCACGGGATGGTCAGTCACACCTCTCGACGGACGGCAGACACGGTGATCGAGCGAGCGATAGCAGAAGCATTGAGTACAAGAGACCTGGTTCTTTTCTCTCTGTTTACAGTGATGGGCATTGGTGCGGGTTGGAGGACGTATTCCAATGTTGTTTTGCGTCTTCAGAGAACTCTACAAGTTCGCAAGATTTAGATAGCTAGATCTACAACTAGGGTGCCCGCACATGAATGCTTCAGTTTCTCTGTCTGGGTTTGGCAATTCGAATCTTAGGTCCGTTGGCTTTTACGGTGGAAGGCGTTCGCAGGACTGGTATTACGGCATTTGAATCAGACAGATCAAAAGGGTCAAAAGTCTCGTCGTATGGTTTGAAGTCATAAATCAACAAAAGTGAACTCCGTTTTATTCGACAATTGAAAGTGCATGATCAACCTGCTTGAGCCACATCAAACGCTGATCCATCTTGCCATCCAAGTCTTGGTGATCTGCTTAGCCTCATCAACTAGACCAAGATCCAACAACATTTGAACGGTGCCACGAGTGGAACTCTCAAGAGCACTGAAAACCCAAGAATGGGTGAAACTGGTGTGTTCGCCAATGAAGACAGTGTTAAACTCAGTCTGCCAGAAGGCTGGCAGGTAAAGCTGCTGCTGAGGAACAATGGGGACGGCGAAGGCTCCCGCATGATGCTCATCCTGCTCCCAGCAATGACGCTCGTAGTTGCCAGTCCACATCTCATCGGCAATAGGGCCGTGGATCTCAACCATAGCGCGCTGGATGTAGGCAATATGCTCTTCAACAGGCATGGAGCAAGCGACAACCGCGTCAGCGTCGGGCGCATAACTCGTAAGCATAACACCAGGGCCGGTTCCGTTGATGTTGTAGGAAGGGTAGCAAATCTGGCCGATGCCGTAAATATCGGTGCGTCCGCATCCGCCGATGATGGGGTGCTCGAGGTGCTCCCAGAAGCGAGTCTTGTACTGCATGGCGACTTTCACGGCACCAAGGAAGACTGTGCGCTCAATGGCGCGACGCATCAAGCTAGAGTGAGGCGGCAGCTCCCAGTACTTGAGCACGTTGAACGGTACACTGTTGAAGACGTAATCGAACTGTTCGGTTGTGGTGTTCTTGGACCAGTGGTTGCTTCCAGTCTCGCGCCATGTGACGTTAAGGTTGTTGGATTCCTCGTTGTACTTGACGCTGAAGACCTTGGTCTTGTAGGCGATGCGGTCTTTGATGATGTTCTCAAAGGCAGCGGGGAGGCGGCTGATACCACCATCAACGGTACGCCACTCATTGGCCAGGAAGTAGACAGTCTCGAACTCCCACATGGGCCAGACAACATGAGACGGGGTAACCTCATCAGTCACGTTCAGGTCGGTGTTCATAACGTGGAGCAGGTACTCAACCTCAGAGAAGTCAAACATGCCAGTCTCAACAGCCTCCTTGTGGGCCTTGAAGACATTAGTAGCGTAGAACTTGCGTCTCTCAGGCGTCAAAGCCTTGAAGTCATCAAGAGCCTGAATAGCTTCCTTGGCCGCAGTCGCGTTGGAGTAGGTCGTGTTGGTCATGAGGGAAGGGTCGGCTGCGATCTCCTTGCGACCGGGGACAGTACCGTCGGGACGACGCTCCTTGGTTGCAACAGGGGCGTTGTCGGAAACCTGGATCCAGGGGATGAACTTGACTTGGAGAGCAGGGTCCGCGTCAGCATTTATCTCGTTGAGGACATCCGCCAGCTGGTAGATCATCTTCTGATCGTTGATGGGGTAAGTTTCGTTGGTTTCAGCATCATAAATGCTGTGCGGGAAACGCATAGGTCCCAATTCGTGGTGCTGGTGCTCGTCCGGAGTTGATCCATTTAGGTAGGTGGTACGAATACGTCCGCCGACTCTTTCTGAAGACTCCAGGATCTTCCAGTTGTGAATGCCAACTGAGTCGAGTAGCAACTGTGGCTCTTGTCAACTTCTTCTCCCGAGAAGAAAGGCCGCGAAAACTTACACCAGTGTGCAGACCGGAGATGCCAGCACCCAGAATACCAAACGTCTTATTCTTCACCGATGCAACAAACACGTCATCAGGCTGCTTCTGCTTGAGGTACTCAACACCATCGAACCAGGGGCCCATCGGGTCCGTGGCCTCAGCGAAAGTTGCACGCTTCCTCATCTTGCGACTCTTGACAGAGTGCTCTGAAGAGCGACCGACAAGCTGGCTGTCAACGAAGGCGTGCAAGCACCCTGAGGACACATCTTCAGGCACCATCCAGACAAACTTTGTGGGTCGTTGATCTATCCACTCCAGATGACGCTTCGCCGCAGGGTGAAAGCCAATGTGTGTCCATCCAATCTTGTGGTGTGCTTCGAAGGGGGATCTCATTCCGCAATCACCGTAGACAATGGACAGCTCTCCATTGAGGGGGCCATTGTACTCGATGTTGATGTTACGGACTCCGTTTCTCTCGACTTCAAAAGGACCCTGGAAAGAGACCGTCTCGCGGAAGACGGGCTCCGCAACAGCCGTCTGGCAAAGACTGGCTGCGGCAGTGAGGAGAGTTGACCAGCGGGCAGCCATGTTGACTATGGCAGGCTTGGGGCAAGATCGACGAACGGACGAACGGTGAGAAGTCCAAGGATCTCAAAACTGAATCCCTCGCTCGATTGAATCTGCCCTTTATATGACTATTTGCCAACCACACTCCAGCCTTGACTATGCATGAGGCTCAACCAAGTGAGGTTTTGATAAGCACCCGGATGGACATATTGGAGGCTTAGCAGATCTCTAAAAGCTGGGCATCATCTAATTAGATTAAAATCAGTCCCGTCACCGAGGTTTTCGGGGTGCGGAGGTTGCGTTTAGTCGAGTTTTCGTGTCATGTTGCGCAGGACCGGTTACCGACTACGAGGGCCCAACTCCGCAATCACTGCAACAACGTGGGAGACATGCCCGAAGACGGCGCAAGCGACCACAGAGAACGTGGAAGATTCTAATCGCGCATAGGTCATGACGGGGGGTTCAGAGTTCTCGCTTCTTTGGAGTTCATATCGTTGGTGTCTTGGCGGGAGGGACGCTGCATGGGCCCGGCCTTGTTTACTATCCCGGCATCGGAACCGCGGGGAACCCTGGTTTGTTCGCGAGTTGCAAAAACCGACCATCGGCTCTTGTGTGTTCTGACGCCTTATCTCGGATGAATCTCGACCGTGTTCTCGCGGCTTGCCCTGCATGGTAATGGCACCAGAGTTGCGTGGCGGTAATGACGAGCGAGAGTAGACGATGGGAAAAGGAAGTTGGATAATGTAGAGAAGCATTCGCTTGAGGGGCGTTAGGTAATGGGTTGCGGTGCAACTCCAGAAAATTGGGCCCCCGTGGTGGATATCCGGAGGCCCGATACCCCATCAGGCAAGTCAAATACTCGAACCCTCTTGGAACTTGAGTCGTTGCTAGCTGCCACTGTCTAGGACTCGTCGGAGTTGCGGATTGCCTTCAGTCTTTCGTTGGAAGGATGCTGTAATTGCTTACTAGAGCTGTCAATCTTTGAAACTTTGGTAGCTTCGGCCGAATGTCCATACCGATGTTGCCAAAACAAGAGCGGTGTATGTGTGGGTCGCCGGTTAAATGTGTCAATTCTCATTGCCATCGCCAAGACAGCAAAATCGGGGTCGACAAGGCCGAATCTCTTGGCTAGAGATAACTTATCTTCATGTCAGCAATTGCCGGCCGGATGTTGAGGAATGCGTTATCATGCGAGAATCCCCCGCGAGAGACTGCACGCATCTTGACACCGGCACGGTTCGTTCATTCATACCGGCCCGGATGACATGGAGATACTCTTCACGGTACCGACTTGACTTGCTCGGTGGTGATCTCACCACAGTCGCATTCGTTACGCCCAGCGCCTACAACTTCGTCTCCCTAGGCTTTCTTGGGCGGTGATTTACTAGCGATGGTGTCATGGGTTGAACGGCTCTTATATAACCATCGATTGCTTTTCGGCCCGCAAAGCTGGTGTAACGTTTTGTCTCTTTCCTTTGGCTAGCAATCAATTGAAGAGATAGGTAGAATCGGGTATTAGAAACGATTGAGGTCTTCCATCAGAAACTTAACATCCATGCAGACATCAAATCAGCTCCCCGGCATCCTATTCCTACTCATGTTGTTACTCAGATCATATCTTTATACGCATTTTCGCATGCAACTGCTCCGTACTGCGAGTAAGTGAACACAAGATCGTGAAAATCGAATGACGCATTCCTCATGCAGTTCAAAAGCAAGCCTTTGAAATCCTCAACTTGTCAATAAACGGCAATTGCCATATTTCATGGAACTTTAACCACGGTGGACGGTCAACGTTACACCTAGCTCGTAGAATTAACTGTATCATAATCTATACGAAGCGAATCCGAGGAACTTTATGTCATTTTACACTCTCGAACTCTTCTTATTAGACAGCCTCGTTATCCAAAAGCTTGTAGAGTCATTCGCACCTTCAGGACGTGCGGATATCCTTGTTAACCCATTGGGGGGAGGAAAGTCGGGAGCAAATCCGCGGCCTATTTGACAGGTTCTGGTCTAGTCCACAAAGAAATCCCTCCAGCCCACATAATAGGCTTGGTATTCTTGAAGTATTTGAGTGAACTCTTGTCTTCCGTGCCTTCCGTACCTTAGCTTTACGGATGTAAGAGAGAGTCGGTTGTCACCAGGTCAGAAGCGGGGTCAGCATCATGTCTACACTTTTCGCGACGTACGAGCTAGTAGTATCGGGGATGATGAAAAGCTGATTACAGCCTTAGTTTGGCCGATCTTAATCAGGAGCATAGATACGTGACGGTCACTACTTGAAAAGCATTACGTTGAGGCAGCCACTGGCATGCGCCATGACCTCTTCTAGATTGGTTGCCACCTGAGATATGTGACCGCCAACTTTGCGCCTGGGATTTGTTGTTCGAGGCTCTTATTTAGCCGCAGGTTATCATTGGAAAGCTCTGTTTTCCTCTCTTTGATGTGACGGCAAGATGTGCGCAGGCGGCGATAGCATGCCCATGCCATAACCCATCATCTATCTCACTTCCGTCTAGTCATGGTGCAGACTTTTGGCAGTTTTCTTTGACGACTATCTGTCTGAAGCGTATTGGTACAATGAAGTCGTTAAACTTTACCGTTCGACCGTTTTCCCATCGCCATGGAATGCATGTCTGGCAGCGAAACATCCGGGACAAAAGATCTGCAAGCCCACATTCTAAAGAACAGCCGATGATCACTAACCTTTGCGCCTATATGAATGACCAGTAAAAGTCGGATATAGATGCCGAAATGACGAGATGGTCCCCAGGT